ACTCACCGGCCATATTAGGTACACCTGTCCAACTGCTCGTTAACACTTAATTTCTAATCAGCCAATCACACGGCGGCAACTTCGTGCATTTAGGCATGTAGACATGGTCAAGACAATCTCCTGCAGTTCAAACCGAGCATCAGTATGGGGAAGAAAGGTGATTTGAGTGACTTTGAACGTGGCATGGTTGTTGGTGCCAGAAGGGCTGGTCTGAGTATTTCAGAAACTGCTGATCTACTGGGATTTTCACGCACAACCATCTCTAGGGTTTACAGAGAATGGTCCGAAAAAGAAAAAATATCCAGTGAGCGGCAGTTCTGTGGGCAGAAATGCCTTGTTGATGCCAGAGGTCAGAGGAGAATGGCCAGACTGGTTCGAGCTGATAGAAAGGCAACAGTGACTCAAATAACCACCCGTTACAACCAAAGTAGACAGAAGAGCATCTCTGAACGCACAGTACGTCGAACTTTGAGGCAGATGGGCTACAGCAGCAGAAGACCACGTCGGGTGCCACTCCTTTCAGCTAAGAACAGGAAACTGAGGCTACAATTTGCACAAGCTCATCGAAATTGGACAATAGAAGATTGGAAAAACGTTGCCTGGTCTGATGAGTCTCGATTTCTGCTGCGACATTCGGATGGTAGGGTCAGAATTTGGCATCAACAACATGAAAGCATGGATCCATCCTGCCTTGTATCAACGGTTCAGGCTGGTGGTGGTGGTGTCATGGTGTGGGGAATATTTTCTTGGCACTCTTTGGGCCCCTTGGTACCAATTGAGCATCGCTGCAACGCCACAGCCTACCTGAGTATTGTTGCTGACCATGTCCATCCCTTTATGACCACAATGTACCCAACTTCTGATGGCTACTTTCAGCAGGATAATGCGCCATGTCATAAAGCTGGAATCATCTCAGACTGGTTTCTTGAACATGACAATGAGTTCACTGTACTCAAATGGCCTCCACAGTCACCAGATCTCAATCCAATAGAGCATCTTTGGGATGTGGTGGAACGGGAGATTCGCATCATGGATGTGCAGCCGACAAATCTGCGGCAACTGTGTGATGCCATCATGTCAATATGGACCAAGCTCTCTGAGGAATGCTTCCAGCACCTTGTTGAATCTATGCCACGAAGAATTGAGGCAGTTCTGAAGGCAAAAGGGGGTCCAACCCGTTACTAGCATGGTGTACCTAATAAAGTGGCCGGTGAGTGTATATATATATATATTACTGTATTTATATTACTGTCTATACATAAACAAATGTCAAACACAAGCAGCCAACCCCAAATCCTCTCAGAAGCTAACACTTACAAATGATTGACATTTTTGCTTGCGTAAAGCCTCAACAACCAATCTATTATTAAAGTAGGTACTGATTAATTCTAGATCAAATCATTGCAGCTCTAATCCATTCACATCAAATGGCTCAATAAGCAATGGCAGAGTGACAGTGACCATCATGCATAGTACTGACCACTAAAACTGAAAAAGGAGAACCGATTCTGACCATGTATTTATCTCATTATTTTAGACCCTAGAAAAGAGTCAAAGTATCATCAGTACAAAAAGCCAAAGGGGAGTAAAAAGAATATGAATACAGTCTGTGAATGCCCTTTGCTCACTTGCTTTATAATGTTAATTTGGTCCAGCAATAACAAATATGTCAAACTTTGCCATTCTGTTGGTTCCCATGTCCTTTTTTAGTGAACATGTTTCTGATATTTGGTTAAAAAAAAAAAAAAAGATCAGATTCAAATGTGTATGCTTTTTGTGTCAGAAACTTGTGTCAGAAAGAAACTATATTACTATATAAAAGCACAGCTTGATATGATAACATCTATGATGCAACAGTGTCTGACAACCTAAATGTCAGCTGGAAGACATGATTATGTATTGCTACAGCACATTTCCCAACTGATCATTTGTGCCAGCTAGTGGAGCCGAGCTCTAGTTCTTCTTCCAATGAATGAAATAAGAATTCATTTTAGTTCATCTTATCAACTTTACCAATAATAACAGGCTCAAAAAAATATTTTAATTGTGACGATCCTGGAGCCCTACAAATAACATGACTGAGCTACTCTCATTATGCATCCATATGCACATACATACCTAATGCTCTCTCAGGAGATTTAAATGAAAAAGTCAATATGTGTACATACCTAATGTCTGATTGTTCCCCCAGAAGATGAAAACACTTGTCAACTTGGAGTTGATCTGAGCTGTAAGAAGGACATCCATCTGAGAGTCTCCATCGTAGTCTCCAGGAACCACACTGGTGATTACAGTGTCCCTAAAACAAAAAACAAAAAAAATGTTAACATGAAGGTCATTATATGCATGCGTCTGGGAGACTAGGGTTGGCTATAACAGTACTTAACACAGTCAAACGATAGAGTACAGTTTCATCACAATCATATCAAACATCTGGCCTGATGCCATGCTCATTTTAACTCAGCCATACTGTAGAGCACACACAAAACATTGAGGTCACAGGGTGTTTTTTATGGGCCAAAGTATTTTGTCCAGTGGACATATTTCTATAATCTAAGTTTTATGGTCATTTTACAGCAACACATTTTTTTAAAATAGGGAAAGATAAACAGCTTTGGTGTGAACTTCTTTCAGCCAGTTAGCTGAAACTAACCGTCATAGTTTCTCAAGTTGGGCCACATGTAACTTGTTGGACATGCTATGTAGGCTACCTTTAAGGCTGTCATTTTAACCCATGTTACTCCTCTTTTTTCTTGACGAGTCATCAGTTAAGCGACAATCACCAGTATTAAAAATTACACTGATGCAGACGGTTAAAACACTCCTTGTATGCCCACAAAACCCCAAAATCACAAAATTAAAGTTTCCCTTTCAACAGCAGAAATAAACATGTGTATGCTTACCTCTGAACCAGTGACGTGTGTCTTTATTCGTGAAAAGGTTGTTTTTTTTATTTTTATTTCAGCTGATTTGATGCATTCAAGCCAAGACTGATACTTTGATCTGCATAACTGGGGATGCAAATGATTTTACTGATAGGTGGACATGATGTTTTTGGGGAGAGTTAAGGTCCACCTTTGCTCCACCTCTTCAGCTAATGCTAGACTGATCAAAAATTGGGTCGACAGTCACTGTCTTTCTTGCTACCTCTATCTCGTATACCTCTCTTTCTTATACACATACCCATAAACACATTTAAAAAATAATTAAATTACTGACTACATCCTTAATTTTGCAATTCAAACCTTTTGAATTCACTCTCCTCAAATAATAATCGAATAACTGACAGGAGAGGATGTAGAGTAATAACTGTATTCATAGTGTAGAAGTTTGGTTATTTGTGAGACAACATCCAGGACTTGGACAAGAGACATATTGATTAACAGGTGATTGATAGAATTTAAAAGGGAGAGAGGGAGAGAGAGAGAGAGAGAGAGAGAGGAGAAGAAAAAATAAGGTGATATCAGGACAGAATCTGCCGCTACCTAACCTGCAGCCATTTTCATCATCTGCTATTAAAAACTATCACTAGTTTGGTCAACCACTTGTTTGGACCCCAGGAAGCTGATGGTTCAATGTTCCTCCTGCATGGGTTTAATGTGATGCACCCGCAGGATGTCTGGGTAGTGATTTTACAGCATTATTTCAGATTTTAATGCATCAAAGACGCAAGAAAAATACCTTGAAGGATGAGCAGACGTTTATCTATTGTTTGTTTGTTCATTTTGTTTAGCCCCCACCAGCAGCTATGGGGACTACCGATTGCATCATAGAGTCGCCAGCGTTTTAGACAGCCAAAAACCCACTGTTAGCAAAAGTAGAGGATTGCCCAGATCATTGCGGACCTTTAATAACCATCTACTGTTGGTATCAACACAGAAAAATATCAGTATCACGAGTCATTCGGCCAAGAACTGACAGTGTGAAAACCAACCCCGATCTGCCCTACTTTGGCTATACTATCGTGAAACGAAAGAGCAAATTAAACCAGCATAAGGGGTAATTTATCTTTTCTGTTCATACAAGATTATAAAAAAATAACATTAAATTGAAGGACCTCAGCTGAAAAAAGACTAAACAAACACGTACTTTGGCAAAATATCCTTCGTGATGTTGAGTTTGGGCTTGAAATAAGGAGCTTTGGAGTCAGCAATAAATATCACCACCTCAGACTCTGAAATAGAGAAAAGTGAAGACAATTAGACACACAAATAAAGCAGATTTAACATGGATAATGTTCTTTTAACAGCCCAGAGAGCTCAAGTTTGAACATACGCTCTCTTATAACGAAGATATCTGTCTGTTTATCCGAGTAAAAGTCGCCAAAAGCAGCCACTGTCCCAAAATTCTCAGCCCCGAAAAGATCCGCCGTCACATCCTGAAGGGCATATGTGTTGTAATGCCCTGTAAAAAACAAAAAAAATGCGAAAATATTTGATTTAAATATCCACATCCTTCTGTGCAGTCAGGGTCCACACAACAACAGCAACTGCAATACGGCACACAGCTTTACGGCAGCGTGAAACGGTGGCTGGTTTTGGATTCAAACATTTAGAGAAAAGACTTTCGATTCAAAAGAACAAAAAATATCTCTAATATCAATTTTTTTAAATAATAAAGGAGATATTATTTGGCAAGACAAGGGTAAATAATACTCGCAAGAGCTTCCTTGTTTACGTGAGTGTCGTGCCAACGGTGAGTTTGACGTTTGACAGCTGATTCAAGTTAGCGATAGTTTCTCAGGTAAAGCAGGAAGTTATGCTAAAGTAATTTCAAAATAAATGTAGGTTACGTTCGAGTCGTAAAAAAGACCGCAAATACTTAAAAACCATGTATGGCCTACGGAGAAATAAGTTTAAAAAACAGTAAAAAGTGTAGGTTGAAAGGCACTTGCATCATAGTCTTTCATAGCCAAAGCAAGAGTTTCTCGTCCTTCTTTGACTTTGAAGCAAAAAATTCCGGAAGTGCTTGATCTTTTCAAGAAATTGACACTTATCAACATGGCGAGCCTTGCTGATGTCGGGTGGAAACTCTTGGAATTCAAATCCCGATCAAAAAGATCAGGTCTGACTTATTTATTTGCATGACATCGTTTACTATGACCCGCCGTGACTGGTTTTAGTTGTGTCTTGGCCTTGAAGAGAGTGTTTGTTTGTGAAACCCGGGGTTAGGTCTGGCCTGTTGTGTGTAATTAAATGCCCCCTTTGCAGAGACGGTGCAGCAGGAAAGGTCAGAGGTGAACATGTGGAGCTATCAGGGGCTATTTTAAGAGAGTTTCACCTCGTACTGCTGCCACAACAAACCCACCTACAGTGAGCTGCACTGTGTAGGCCTTTGTGGCGAGTGAGGGTCACCTGGGACAAATTATTGAAAAGTGTTATGGACTAAAAAGATGAAAACTTCAAATAAGATTTACCCATCCACCTAAGTTTACTCGTAAAACAGCAAAAGACATTTAAATGGGTAAGGGTAAAACTGAGTTTCGTAATCTTGTTGCATATTAGTGCAGGAGTGTTGCATTGATCAGAGTTTATAGTTCCTGGAAAGTTGTGCAACTTTCTATTTTAAAGCTCCAACGTAGAACTTTGCCAATTTGGCACCTCCTGCAAAGAGCCACCTTTTATGTCTTTATGCAGATCTAGTCCCCCGTTCCTTGTCCATCTACACCGTTTTCTCTGTTACAGTGGTTATCAAGTGCATTTGTATGAACTTGAGTAATTCAGCTAAGATCAGTTATTTTTTTGTTTGTTTGTTTTTTAAGTAGGCTGTCCTGTATGTGCTTGTGTAGGTAGACATACCCTGATTTCAGATACAGAAATAAGCCCTTATCACCTACATCCCTACGGATTGGCCTGTAATTATGGCTCAAATGTATAGTATTAAAAAGTGTTTTTTCATTCAAAGAAAATCTCATTCTACTTTCTGTTAACGCTCATTTTAATAGTCTTTGTAAGGCTTTACTTAGTAAAAAGTAAACAAGGATATTTTTTCAGCTTGCTGTCAGTTGTCTGATCTTACTCTTACCCCCTCACAGCAGTTACAGACATAAAACCCAGAACAGAAATTGTCCCCCGTTGCTAATGGTCTTGTTTGCTATTTACGTGACTGTTAAACACCTGTATTATGAATTGGCATGGGGCCATTATAGAACACAGAGCATGTCCCACATACAACCCAAATAACATTTAGTTAGATTTTTAAAGACACCTGCAATGATAATTGTGTCAGCCAATGTCTAAATATTTTGTATGACTTCAGTATCACATTTAATTAAATCAAAGCTACAATGCATTTGTATGTTTTATTTTCGCTGTTTATCTACGATAAGTGGCTAAAGTTTAACACGTTAGATTTAAACTTGTTATGGTGCAGATTAAAATGAACAGTAATGCCTCTGTATGATCAACAAAACCGCCTTTTTTATTCCACGGTGAGTGAGTAATGGAGGAATAAGAGTGAGAGATGTGTTTTAAAAAAAATTTACCTACTGAAGTACAGGATCAAATGGGCAAAAATGGAAGGAGGCACTGCTTTGTCCCCAGGGTGGTGCTTTAATAAAGTTTCTCACAGGAGCTTTAATTTCACTTGTTTTCTCAAGATCTTGACTTGTTGTAATATAAGTAATGTCAAGATCAATATGTGATATGTAGTCTGTTTCCGAGGGGCCCCCAGAGGTAAATAGTTATAACCATCTTTCTCGATGAAGACTTGCACCCCTAGACCCAAGTGGGTACAATACAATAACAATAAAACTCCCCTGTCTGCATTTTATGTTGGTTTGTTGGTCACAATGGTGTATAGGACTTTTTTGATGGTAATAAGAGTATATAAAGTACATCTTATATGCCAAATTTTAATTAATCACTCTTCTGTTGGGAAAATGAAACAAGTTAATCTTTTATTCTAGTGAAAACAGTGTTCTTGAGAAATATAGATTTTGAGAAAACTACCAGAAATTACTGTTTTTAGGATTAAGTATAATGTCTATTCATGTCCACTTAGGGACTCCATAGTAATAGCAATACATAGTTTATCACAAAGCAACATTTGAAAGCTGTTACACTCATCTTTTGCAGCTATTGTATAATACAGTCAATCAGATCAATCTAAATTTACTGACTTTGAGGTAAAATAGACTCTTTTTAGTGCAAACACACTCAGCTATTTCATGTGCTTTTTAGTTCTTCTTTGCGTGCCCACGGTAGACTTAACATCTCCATAAAACATGCAATGTCATAATAGCTGAACACATTGGCACTTTTTAATTGTAGTTTTAAAAAGACAAAGGTCAAATCTATTAAAATTTGACTTTCATCAGCATTAGATACAGCATAACAGTAAAAGGATTCATTTAGCAGCAGTACTAACACATCAGTGGGTATTTGGGACCTGAAGATTTGAAGTGATTGTTATAGGGCAGTTAATGAGTGGGCCTGGTGCATCTTAATTTGATGTTATAATTTTAGGTTCTTCTCTAACATAACAGTCATGTAGTAATTCATCATGACTCTGTATCTCTCAAGGGTTTAAATAACTTTTGTTACTGTCCTAAAAAAGCATTGTAATTTGTTGCATGTTGTTCTTGATCATCATTGCTCAATGTACAGCAATTCAGTGTCAAATCGTGCATGTGTCTGATCTAACTCTGTGCCACTAACTCATTCCTGTGAACTGCTGTAGATTTGTGATTTAGCTGAGAGAGACGATTGGCCTTAATTTCACCTTTTGAGAATGGCCAGCTCAGTGGCTGCAGTCGCTCGGCCACATCGGAAAATCAACAGACTCGGTAAGTAGTGGCAGCAGATCTGAGGAAGTACTACAGTTATCCACTGAGAGAGGGCAAAGGGAGATGTGGTCAAAGGAGAATCGTGGAAACTTATTTTAGGTCAGCATTTTATTTCACAACATCTTTGCTCAGGAAAACATCTTTGCTCTCACGTTTAAAACTGAGAATCACAATCAGCTTTATATTCTTTACCATTTCTTCAAGTTTTCAACAGGGACTTTAAAAAGTTGGCTCAATTGTGAGATATTTTTGTCATATGCAACCCGAACTGCAATCCAAAAAAGTAAAGATTCCAAGTGAAATGCTGATTAAAACAGAATCTGATGGTTTTCTTATCTGTTTACTTGAAAATAGTGCAACCTGTCACATATCAAAACAGAAAAATCCATAGTTTTTAGAAAAATATGTATGCTCATTTTAGCTTTGATGCCAGAAACCTTTTTCATCCAAGCTGGAACAGACACAACAAAATAATGTGTAATACTAAACACACCTAGAGGAACATCTCCCAAAGAATACGTATTTTTTGTAGCAGTAAAGTAATACAAGAAGGCACTCCAGAGATCAAGTCTTTCTTAGGTAAAGGTGGGGACAGGTTTTTCACACTGTGAGTGAGTGAGTGAGTGAGTGAGTGAGTGAGTGAGTGAGTGAGTGAGTGAGTGAGTGAGTGAGTGAGTGAGTGAGTGAGTGAGTGAGTGAGTGAGTGAGTGAGTGAGTGAGTGAGTGAGTGAGTGAGTGAGTGAGTGAGGGAGGGAGGGAGGGAGGGAGGGAGGACATTGTTCAAGAATAATGGGCTTGAGCATACTATTTCAAAGAAGTTGAGGATTTCATCATCTATGGTTCATATTTTTTAATTCCCTTACCAGAGGGATCAATGTAGTTCTATCTAATCTAATCTAATCTAATCTGATGTAATATACTGTAAATTTTCAGAGAAACTGGAGGGATGTCTGTACAACAGGGACAAAGCTGGAGGCCATCACTGGATGGCTGATTTGGGCTTCAGGCCCTCAGGTGGTGCTGTAGTAAAATTTGACATCACTCTGCAGTGGAAACCACTGCATTGGCTCAAAATATACTGAAAACCATCGTCTTTGATCACAGGTTGTCACTGTATCCCCAAACGTAGGTTAAAACTGTACCTGGCAAAGAGCGAACCTTGTTTAAGCACAATCTAGAAACACAGGTAACTACTCTGGGCTCAAGCTCATTGAAGATGGATGGGGGTGAAGTGGAAAACTATTCCTTGGTCTGAGAAATCAAAATGTGACATCATACAGTATACAAATTTAAGAGCAACATATGCTGCCATGTAAACAATTTTTTTTTTCAGGAATGTATATTTCAGTGAAACAGTGTTAAATGACATTTTGTACATATCACAACAGCATGGCTTTGTAGTAGAGGAGGTCAGGCACTAAACTGGTGCAAAATGTTTAAAGTTTTTTGTTAAAAGAAGTGGTTTCACAACACCATTCTGAAGGCGTCCATGTACAAATTGCTTCGCAGCATTTAATTGTCATCAAATGGAAAATCAGCACACATATTTTTTATAAAGCTACAATTATTTGCGCTTTTTAGTGATATATGGTGTCTGAGTAATAAGCAAATCATCAAATTCTGTTTTGATAAAGACTTCACAGAGTGTCCAAACATCTTTCAGGCTTTTTTAACCAATTATGGGGCAAACATATCTCAAAGTAAAGTTTTGTGATCACAAAACATAAATGACTCACACACTTGAGCTCTCTTTGGTGATTTGAAAACAAAATAGGCAAAATAGTGTCAAATTACCCATAATACTGTGAGTGCTTAAAGAACAAAGTGTATCTGATGTAGGATCAGCCACAATGAGATTAAAACTCCCTCAATTGCACAATATGAATTCAAGTCCCAGAAGTGACACAATATCAATGTACAGAGTAGATAAGAACATCATCTTTCACTGTGATCAGTATTGAATTTGTTTAAAATCAGCCTAATAACAGCTGCTCACATTTGTCTGATCCTGTGTTCAGAATTAAAAGCGTAATATTGGACTTCCACCATGCTCTTTCTAGGTACTATCTATAAAAAGAGATGGATTGGCTTTGTCCCCCACAACTTTTAAGCTGATGGAAATTATGCTAATTTCAGCCAGAATGTGAATTTTTCAGTACCTGTGGTATTGACCCAGGGTCGAACCTATTAAAATGCAAATCTCAGCAAAGTGAAAAGTGTCTGAAAATAGAGAAAAGTCTACAGATAGGGGCTTCCCTCAAACTCCTGCTCTCTTGCTCTCTCTTTCTCGGCTCAAGGGGAGGAAATATTTTGATGTGTGCCACATTACTGTATGAATTTTTAGCTCCAGGCCTGAATATTGTTTTGTGTGCTGTGTCCTTTGTGATGCGGTGAGGAGAATGATATACTGGTGGCATGTTCCTATTCTTGGAATTTTGACAGTTTTTATTATCTTATTATTTGACTGTCTTATTGTTGCTTTATATGTTTTATTGACACAATCAAGTCACTCATTTGTTAAAAAGCTGACTTTTGTCTGGAAAAAAGGAAAAAAAAATAGAGTTGTTCCAGGATGAAAAAATGTGAAAACTTGACCCATATGATTTCAGCCCAGCTTAGCCAGTGTTTATGGAGATGAAGATACATATTTGTTTAAAGAATTTTCAAAGGTAGATGAACAACATTATAAAATGTGGATCAAGATTTGCAACTGTATTTCTTGTCAACCTAGGGTTAAAGAGATGTGTTGTTTCTCAGGATCCATTTATGAACCTCTGAAGCTGTCCATACTCCAGCGTGAGGATGAACCCTTGTGGGAGAAGCTGGACCGCTACTACAATGCAGGTAAGCACACTTATTCACTTTTTGGATGATTTTTTTAATTCTCATTTCTCAGAGTAAACAAAAAGACTGCACTTTTTAACGAGGACAAAAATCAACCAACCCAAAACTGGATGAAGATGAACACAAAACACACCAACAAATAACAAGAATCACAGAGTTAACAAACATAATTTCATATCTTATTAGCTTCCTTTTATTTCTTTATAGTTTAATTTCTCTTTAAAGCTCCTGTGAGGACTTGCTGACATTTATGAACAGACTGAAAGTCATATCGATGTCTTTTTTTATGAAACCAAAGCAAATAGGACTGACAATTTTTATTCTGTTATTTTTGATAACTAAAACCGGCGCAGGGGGGTGGTCGTTAAGACGCAGCCCCGCCTTTTTTTACAACATATGTACAATCTTTACAATAGATGACTCTTTTTTTCTTATCAGAAGATGCTCTCAGCATGTGGAGGACTGGATGAGCAAAATGTACTTTGTCTGCGGGGGGGGCAAAAATGACCTAAAGCAAAATTTCGTTCTGTTTGATACAGGTCAAAAAAGTTCTCACAGGAGGTTTAACAATTAGAAGCATTTAATGGAAAGAGAGATACGTCGATAAATACAAGCTGGTGAATTAGACTGGTGTTCATCTATGAAACCCCTGATAACCATCGCTCCATTTAATAAAAAAAAAAAACGGAATTCTTTTGCATCCTTAGGTCTGTCAATGGCTCAAAATTTCAAGCAATTCCATTGAATGTATACCCCACATTTAGTGGTTCTATTGCTTTTACAGTATATTTTGTGCCATATTTTAGCATCATTGTCAACCTTTAATTAAGCCTCAAACATTACTGAGGTTGCTCTCATTAACAAGCTCCAGAAATACAATTAAAATATACCCCAAAGAACCAGAATTGTACAAGAGAAACAGGAGTGTAAATAATTCCACATATTTGTGGTGCAGAAAGGCAGATTTTTGGACTTCAGAGGAAACGTGGTACTTAAAATATCAGATGGTTAATAAACCCGGATTGAAAGTGTTCCGTTGTCTAGTACAGCACTGATGTGATATACAGTTTAAAAGTCTCATATACGTTGTTACCTCTATATTGTTCTGCTGTCAAAATGATGCAAGGTTAAGGCTTTGGCGTAAACTTCTAAGCCACATGTTAAGGCTGATTATGCCTTAATATTCATCTATCTGACAAACAGAATTAGAGTTGAAAATCCGTCTAAGTCCTGAAAATGTTTCCAGTCATGAAATCAGAAACAGTTTATTTCTCCCTCTTCACTTCGACCAATTTAATGGTTAACTTTGAAGTTATCTCAGAGTTGTCCATATCAAAGTTCCCTTTAAAATTGATATTGATTCACCAAGAAAGTCCTTCAATTTGCTGCTACATTTCTGACCAGTAAATTAAGTGAAATGTTGCTTTAAAGGGGACCTGCCATCAAAATTTCATACCCATTTCAATCATTTTTTCAAAATCCTTGATGTCCTCTGATCATGTTTGCAACATAATTTTAGCTGAAAAGTTATTTGATGGTTTGTTTGAAACCATTTTAGTATGCCTAAAAAACTTTACAGGAAAACTAACTGATTTTGGCTCATTAACATTTATGGTAATGAGCTCTGCTCTGATTGGATCGCTGCTGTGAAGCCTGCTGTGCTCTGATTGGCTCAGCAGTGGAGGTTCTGATTTCGGTTTATCCATTTTGCTAATGTGTGCTAAAGTAAGGTGACCAAATGTCTGTAATGAAATCTGAGGAGATTCGGCGCAGCGGCGGGGGGATGCAGGGGCTGCATGATCACAGACAACATCTCGGTACTATTTAATAGCAGCGCATGCCCCTTGTAATAACCCCTGTAAGAACTGTTGTTCAGGACTGCTTACTTGAGCTTCCTACCCATTCGGCTACTGTAATAACCGTCGATCTAGCCCACACGCAACATTTTTGCTCTCATTCATAAAACGCTTAAATTGGGGACATTTTCGGGGACAGCTTTTGCCGGGGACAGGTCATCCAATTCGGGGACTGTCCCCGGAAATCGCGACGTCTGGTCACCTTATGCTAAAGGCTAAAAATGGCAGGTGGTAAACCATATATCTTTGACCCCGAGTCCGAGTCCAAAGAGGTGGTGGAAGTTGAAGAAGAATACGGAGAGCGAAAGAACTAATTTCGGTGCTCCATTTTCTCATTCATTCTGCCCAGCTTTAAGTTCATTTTCCCGGCAGTGAACCCAAGGAAACACCGGTCGTTTGGAAGAGACCTATAGCGGATACAGTGGTAGCTGGGTCTCGCTCTGGCTGGAGAGTGATGATGACTGTGACTGGGTACGAGAACGAGAGAGTGGGTGCGGCTCACCGAGGACACGCTCGTGAATAATAATCAGCAGGGTCAGCTTGATGTCTGAAGGACCTGCTTTTTCAACTGGCCTGGTTTACCCGTTTCTTTATTTTAAAATTTTAGAGGATGCAAACGACGTAATGGTTTATTTTCACATTTACAACATAAGACAAACATAATATGGACTTAATCTGACACACAAAAATGCAAAAAATACATTTTTGGTGGCAGGTCCCCTTTAAGTTTTAGAAATATATAAGAAAAGCTTTCAAATGCAGACTTGAGCATTTTTGACATGAAAATATCTTTTTCTTCAGTGTTTTTGACTTTATTGAGCAATTACATTGCCTAAGTGAAAGGCAAGATCATATTACTTTAAACGCTGCAGATTGAATGTTTTCTAAGCTATACGTGTCTCATACAACATCACCTTGCACCTTGCATATCGAATTTCCTTGTTTATGAAACAGATGTGACTAAGCACAAAGAGAAAGAACTACACTGCTGTTGAAGCTACACTGTTGAATTTCACAGCAAGTCCGGCAAATGGTTTGGGGTGGCATCTGTGCCAAGAGAAGCCTGTGCTTGTTGCACCCCTGCCTACAAGTTTTTGATCTCACTTTTCTCAATGAGTGGATTTATGAATGAAGCCATGGCTACATTTACAAAAGATTTTCATAATTCAGCGTTTTACACCTCCTTGAAGTCACCAAGGCAGGACACAAGCTACCAATGATTTATGAACCAATTCTTCAGTCCCATCCAGGTGATGATTCTTGTCTGTGTAATCAGGAAAGGAGACTGCAGGAGAGATGAATAGACATCAGTGCTGATTATTTAAGCCCCCCGCAGCTGTGACTTTACTGCTGTGCAAACCAGAGCTGCTCCCAGAACACACAAAGGCCAGAACACACATGTGACCACTACAAGGCTCAGACATGAAGGACCATTGGATAAGTTTTAAACAATGAGAGGCCAGCTTTCCATAAAAATTGTGATTTTATTCAGGAGACCCATGGTTGATGAGAAATATTGCTGCCATGAATGTGATCCCTGTGGGTAACATGAGGTGTGTCAGCTATTGCTTTCTGAAGAAAAAAATCGAATTGTGTTTTCTTTAACAATCAAAGAACTCACTGGGACCCTCTGCCATGAAAAACACTAAAAAGTTTTAAGAATTGGCAGCATGCTGTCAACCACCAATCCGCAGGAACCTTACAGGTATTTAATATGAAATAATTTGAAGAGGTAGTGAGTAATGAGCATAGCACCCCTTACAAACAGCCACTATTTGCCCACCTGTTAGTCAATTGAATGCGCCTTCAGTCATGCCAGATCATGCTAAACTCTTGGTTTCTCTCTTCTGCAGTGAAAAGGAGTGACTTATATTGATGTGAGATGATCGTGTTGATGGCTGCTGTATTTGTGTGCCAGGGATTTATTCCCACATGTTGCGCTTGTGAGTCAATCCTCCCCCTCCTGCCAGTACAGGAGTCATTTTTTTACTGTCTTCTTCTCAGACAAAAGTGGAAGCCACTCCTTCACATGTATTTCAAAATTTTGTGAATACAGGCCAGTCTGTTTTTTTTATTTGCCATTTTTTACCTCATTATACATATTTTGGCTGATGACTTCATCTGCTGGTAAACTAATTGCAGGTAAATGGCATCTGGTCAGTGCTGGCTCACAAAACCCCTGGATGCTGGCCGCTGGAGAGACTGCAGTTTTTTGCATTGACTAAATTGCACCTTGATCCACATCAGATATTTCATCCACACTTTGTAAGACTTGCTGAGAAAAGCTGGCTGTTAGAAAAAAAGGAAGTATGTCATCACAGTGAGCCAAAACACAGTGATAGAACAGCTATTCATCTCAAAGTACAGTACATCGAAGTTGTACCTGTGTATTTTGGGAGTTTGTGGGTGCAAAGTGCAGCACAGTGGCTCAGTGCATGCTGCAGAGTGCGTATCCATCTTTTGTGTTTGTTTTGTCTCGTGATGACAAACTGGATTCACCCTTTTTCAGTAAAATCAATACAAGGCGAGCGGCAGAGGGGATAGGCCAAATACAGCACCTCTTCTGAGAAGATATAGTCGGCTTTACTGTGCAGCAGGAAGGATCATGTGTTGCCTCTGGCTGTGTGTGTGGCTGTTGGATACTGGTAATACAGCTCAGGATGGTTTCCCTGAGGATCAGAGCTGATTCTGCCACTGAGGACACAGGCTTGGCTTTTCTGGGTTACTCTTGTTGTAGAAACAGAAATGTGGTGTTTGGTGCAGCAGACAAATCCTGGCATGTTCTCTAGAGGATCTCTTTACTTTATGTGCATTAAATGTCCTTTTTCAGACAAATAATGTGTTGTACATCTTTGATCGCTCACGTCCACATTTGCCCACAGTTGTGTCATTAAGTAAGTGTAGAAACCATTGACTGTATATAGAATAGACAGCATCAGCCTCCTCAATGGGTGAAGCCACTCCTAGAACAGCACACTCTGGCGACAGGCTGCAATACAGGTCATAAATCCCACCTCTGCCGGCAAGGCTTATGGGGCTGTGGACAAACTTTACAAATGTATTACACAGAACATAAATTTTTTCCCCCTGCTTGCGATGTTGACATGTAGTTACTGTAAGACTGGTTTGTGCTCAAGTCGTCTTTTTCTGTGCAGCTCCATTTTTAAAAGTTATGAGGGAGTTCATGTTTTCTATGATTGACACCTGATAAAGCGTATGGGCATACAAGGATTGCGTAGCTCACCTGGGGGATACGCTGTTTGAGCTGAGCGTCATCACAGCAACTCTTGGTGACTCTCCAGCCGAATGCGTACAATGCTGCTGCCCAATGGTGATGTGTATACAACGCTACTGTGCAATGTTGGTTTCAGGAAATGGAGAATAAATTGCAGAATTACAGAGAGCTTTTTGGCTTCAAATCTGTGTGTTGGCATAAGGCGGAACCAAATTGTCCACAGTCTATGGTAGAAACGTACAAATGCTTACATCAGGGGTGTCAAAGTCAAATGGACGGAGGGCCAAATAAAAAATTTAGCTACAAGCCGAGGGCCGGACTGATAGAATGTTCATTGAAAATTTTTTAAATGACGCATATAGTCTAGTGAACCTAACTGAACCTACTGAAAACCTAACAAATATATTCCAATATGATCAGATAAATAAAGCAATATTTTCTTATGGCTCTGTCAGTAATCTTTAATTTTCAACAGACACAAAAGACAAATTTCCTTTATATAAAAATCCCCATAACATGAACATTAAATGAAAGAAACCGGTATTATTCAAGGCACCATCAGTAGCCTATATTTTCTATTTTAGCAAAAGTGGGCTAAATTTACTTCAAAGAAAAAAAAAATAATAGCAATTTTCTATCATCCACTCAACTGAAATATTTTTAAAATATGATTGGATTGAAATACAATAAAAACGTGTTTCGTTTCATAATGTCGTCTCAGATTATACTCTTTCAGTACCGCCACACTTTCTCCACACAGAAGACACACAGGTTTTCCAGCTACCTCCGTGAACATATACTCCGACTCCCACCTTGTTTGAAACCCCCGGTTCTCAGTGTCCACCTTCCGTTTTGCCATTTTTGATGGGTATCTGAAAGTTAATTTTACTGTTATGCTGACGACTGCTGTGCTAATAAATATCGAAATGAAGCAGCCTACTGCTCGGTGCGTCACCGTTGCATTGTGGGAAATGTAGTATTGGTGCGTCTAAAAGATCTGCGGGCTGCCGGCTTGCTGCGGTCTGCGGGCCGGTTCTAATAATAAATCAAGATCATCCCAGGGGCCGTAAAAAACCTTCTCGCGGGCCGGTTGTGGCCCGCGGGCCTTGACTCTGACATATGTGGCTTACATTATCATTATTAGTATCCTGCTGCACTGTCAGAGAGACCCATCACAAATTCCATGCCTGGTTGGAGATTGACAGTGACATTTACTGGATCAGAGAACATCGAAAATCATGTCCTTCTTCGTGCACTGACCTTGCACTAAAATGACTCAAAATGTCATTTTTCCAGCTGCAATTTGGGTGAGTGTTGCAAAAACTGCCTCCAAACTCAGCTCCAGGGTGCTGCAGCACTTAGTAGTGGAGGCATGTAGTTGTGGATGGCCTTTAGCTACAGTCAGATGTGAGACGACTAAAAGTCAGTGCTGCGCTGAGGTCTGACAGCAGGCTGAATTTGCTTTGATAATCACACATTAACTCAGAAGAGTCTCCATCAGTCGAAGTTGCGGTGACATATTGAACGGCCTGACTTGTTTAGCAGTTTTTGCAACACTCACCCAAATTGCATCAATGACTGTGATCAGAAAAAGAGTAAATCTAAAGAGCTGCTTCATCATCTCCCGTTAACTGAATACAAACAGAGTCCAACCCATCACAGAGGAGCTACAAAACAAGTAGAAGTGAATCACAGCGAAAAGTCATGTGGTGTGGAGGCACTTCTGCTCAATGGAGGCAGAAAATTCCTGACTTGTTAACCTAGAAATAATGAAACTTGCAAAAAGAGACGCAAAGAACGGTAGGTCAGATTCAATTTCTTTACTGAAGGGTGCATCTTTTCATCATAATGGTATAACCCTCTGTATTATAACTGTAAAAAGTGTCCTCTGAAGGACATTTCTACTATTTTTACCAAAGATAAAAATCAAGACACTCAAAACCTACAGTAACGACTTTTTAGTTGAGTATTTACTACACCAAGGTTGATGCTGATGTCGCTTTATGTGTTAGGAATCGAACAAAGGCCAGGACCAAAAAATGCAGAGGCAAATGCCCAAATTTATTGACAATAAACAATAGAACAAAGTGAGCAACAGAAAATCGCTGTTTCCGGGAAAGGCACGGTCAGCTCGGACTGCCACTAAAAAACACAAAACCAGGGTTAGAAGATAGTCACAGCAGCAAGGCAAAATAGCTGGTGAAAAAACAAAGTTCAAATGATAGTGCCACGTGGGGCAAGTAACAACGAAGGATGTAAAAAGACAAAGTGCAACAGAAATAGTAAACCAAAAAAATCTTCTCAACTGGAGGAAAAAACACAAACACAAAATCACCTTTGATCAAGGGAAAAACTCTCTGGGAAGTAACAAAAGAACTCACAAACGAACACTGAGAGGCAGGCTGGATACACGGGTGGGAGATCAGGGAGCTCGGTGTGGCAAGACATGTGTTGCATGACTGAGAAATCATCCGGCACTGAGTCGACAGAGGAGCTGGCATATAAAGCCAGGTAATTGACACCAACGAGAATCAGGTGTGTGCAGTCAGCCCGGGCCAGCCCTGCCTCCCGCCGTGCCTCCAGCGCTGCAGAGAGAGAGAGAGTGAGAACACACACAGAGGAGTAGAACACAAGAACCCCAACTGCTGCATAACTCAAAGCCCTCACAGTACCCTCCCCTCAAGGAATGCCTCTTAGCGTTCTACCTGGTTTACCTGGGTGGGCGGCATAGAAGTCTCGCAGCAGCTGTGAGTCGAGGATGAGGGAACGCAAGATCCATGAGCACTCCTCAGGACCATACCCCTCCCAGTCAACCAAGTATTGAAACCCCCGGCCTTTCTTGCAGACATCCAGAATCCTGTTCACTGTGTAGGCGGAGTGGTAGTCGATGAGGCGAGGAGGAGGAGGTGGTGGTGCTGGGGGCTGGAGGGGGCTGTTGATGATCTTCTGAATGACGAAGGGACCAATGTAGCGCGGGGCCAGCTTCCGGGATTCCGTCTGGAGGGGAAGATCACTTGAGGAGAGCCAGACTTGCTGCCCTGCTTGGTAGGCGGGAGCCGGGGTGCGATGGCGGTCTGCTAGCCTGCGGTTGCATTCCGTGGTACAGCTCAGCCCCGCTTGCGCCTCCCGCCAGACCCACCTAATCCTCTGGAACTGTGTCTGTATTGAGGGGACTGCAGCATCCGATTCCTGGTTCGGGAACAGGGGGGGTTGGAAACCACAGTTAATCATGAAAGGGGACATCCCTGTTGCGGAACTGACCGGGCTGTTGTGGGCATACTCCACCCAGGGAAGATGTGTAGACCACGCAACGGGTAGGCGAGAGGCGATGCAGCGCAAGGCGGACTCCAAGTCCTGTTTCGCCCGCTCAGTCTGGCCGTTCGACTGCGGGTGGTAGCCAGAAGAGAGGCTGGCCGTAGCCCCCAGGCCCCTACAGAAAGCCTTCCAAACCTGGGAGGTGAACTGGGGCCCCCGGTCTGACACTATGTCCGTGGGAATTCCGTGAGGTCTCAACACATTTAGGATGAGCAGTGGGACGAAATGAACCGCCTTGGAGAAGCGATCCAGGATGGTGAGTATGATATCGTTGCCTTCAGAGGGAGGGAGACCAGTGGCGAAGTCCACAGCGATGTGAGACCAGGGGTGTGAGGGTACAGGGAGAGGATGCAGGAGCCTGGTAGGGGCCTGGTGAGAGGATTTGCTGCGGGCACAGACCGAGCAGGTGGCAATGAAGGTGCGAATGTCCGCTGTCATCGAAGGCCACCAGAAGTGTTGTTGCACCAGCATAAGAGTCTGCCGAACCCCGGGATGGCAGGCGAGCTGGGAGGCGTGCCCCCACAGGAGCACCACGGATCTGGCCGCAGGCGGGATGAACAGCTGCCCCTCAGGTACGTGTTTGGTGTTCGGGAGCGAGGTGCGAGCTGGCGTCAGGCGAGGAGGCGTAGTCTCCGGGGCTGCAGACACTGGAAGCTGGTGAACGGCGAGTCTGATCCACTCTCCTCTCCCTCCGTCTCTCTCTGAGTCTGTTGTCTATGTGAATGCTCAACTCTATTAGCTCGTTTAGGGAGGAGCTCTCCTCCCGCACTGCCAACTCATCTTTTAATTCTCCCGTTAACCCTTTGCGGAATATGGCTCGGAGAGCGGTGTCCCCAAACCCACTGCTGGCCGCCAGAATACAGAAGTTTATGGCGTACTGGGAGTCTGGTAAACTGCCCTGCCGTAGGTCTAATAGCTGACCCGTAGCTTCTCTACCCTTTATCGGGTGATCAAAGATTCGTTTCATTTTCCTCGTGAATTGGGCGAATGGCCTACAAAAGCTTACAAGGCCATTGTTAAGATAAATAATTTTCCCATAACTATTTACCTGTCAGGCAGGTAAATAATTCCATAGCTAAGATTCACAGTGGGGGTTAGGTTTGATGGTTAACAAAGGCAGTAAGAGGAGTTTTCATCAGAAAACACTGCTTATACGTGTGATGTACTCAGGCTGTTTGAGTGGCCAGGGGAATCAAATGTATGGAATCAGTGTACAGAGAGTTGTTATTAATGAAGATCTTTCTGTAGCAGCCTTTTGAAAACCAGTCTGATGTGATCATACGATTATTGCACAACAGGCCTTGCTCAATCTTGTCAAAAATAATGGTTGCCTCACACAGACACATACAGACACACAAACACACACACGCACACACACAAGTACACATTATGGCAACCCTGGACAGCAGGTAGTTTGGAGACTACACAACTGGGGCACTTTTTCAAACTGACACTGAATTTTTGTGCAACATTGAGTGGTGTAAATTTGTAAGAAACACGACAAACTATTAAACATAATTGTCAAACAAAGAATACTAGTAGGGCTTTCAGATGGCACAACTTTGATATTCTGTATACTGGAAGTACACCCATTATATACTATTATTAGGTCATGTTATCCAGCAGTAGGGCTTTGTCATATTTTGCTCATTAAAAGAGCAAATACTTAAGTGTTCTTTCATGTAAAGGGTTTTGGAGCGGCATTTTATGATGCCTTATGTAGGTAAGTTACACCCAAGAGGACACTTGTGTTGTTTTTTTTTTTTAGACATGGCAAAGATGATGATGAAGTACTCAGTATCTCATAGATGATGGAATATCAAGTAGCAGACAAATATTGATCAATACTAAAGTAGTCACAAGATAGTGACCCGGGGGTTAGAGAACTAAAGACATTTGAATCAGAATCAAGCTGCTCCATAAATTTAGAGTCACTACGTAGGCTCAGGTTAATAGGATCAAAATGCATATGATTTGAGGCAATTTTTAACCCAATCTTACATTTAATATTCCCAACCAAGTCATCATCATCAATATCATGATATGGGAATATGGAGAGACACTCAGAACAAGTCCAAGAGCTCCATTCATTCATTTCACATTCATTAATAGGTGTGCATCTCAGATGGTAACACTTTGTACAGCAAGTACAACAAACAGTTGGATTAGAAAGGATGTCATGGCAGTGATGACAGTCCATCAAAGGGTATAGGAAGGATCATGTTATACCAATATACTGAGAAAAATATTGAGATACATAATGAATGTGAAAACTGTGTGTGTGTGTGTGTGTGTGTGTGTGTGTGTGTGTGTGTGTGTGTGTGTGCGTGCGTGCATGTGTGCATGTGTGTGTGCATGCTCGTGCGTGCTATACATAGTACATGATGTGTGATTAAAAATTGGACAGTTTTAGCAGTTCACCTAGACCTTGGTGCAGGTTTCTGTGATGGTGGGTGGACAATGAGTTTATCATACCGCAGATAGGCAATGTCCCCCTTCTCCCTGGCAGCCCTCATGGCTGGAAGAAGTTATTTTCTCTTCTGTCGAACGGCTTCAGGAAAATCTTCATTTATGTAGATGTTCGTGCCTTTTAGGGCTTTGGCTTTGCTGAGAACCTCTTGTTTGTCCTTGTAGCATAGAAACTTGACAACAATGGGCCGGGGTCTGGTGCTGGTTGCCGAGGGTTTTCCAGTCCCGTGGGCCCGCTCCACCTCAATTTTGCGATGGTCCAACTGTAGCTTCTCAGAAAGCAGCTTCTTCACTTTGTCCTCAGAATCAGACCATTTCTCACCCTCCAACTCTTTAATGCCATCAATAATGACATTATTTCTCCTGGATTGTCCTTCCATATAGTGAAGTTTATCATTTAGTGGGATAAGGCTTTTGCTGACTGATACCACACCATTCTCGGTTTCTTTGCAGGTATTTCCCCAGGTCTTGCAGTGGTCCTTAAAATCTTCTCAGAAGTTCTTTTTGAGTGAATTCCAGACTAGCCTTGAGAGCATGGACTTCTCTCATCAGCTCCCCAACTTTTTTGTTTGAGGAGTCAACCAGGATTTCCACACAGGATTTGAAAATTTTCTCCTGTTGCTCTAAAAGAGCTTTATAAAAGTTCTTTTGGTGCTCAAGCAGTTCACGCACCTGGGCCATGGAAACAGCATCCTCAGAGTTCTTGTGGTTTTTCTTAGTCTGAGGCATGACCGTTGTCAGTTTGTCCAGGTAGCAAACAAAGCCAGCTCACGTGCTAGTAGCAGCTGAGGCTCTGTAGGCCTCTGTGGGCCAATGTAGGCCTCTGTAGGCTGTCGCAGCAGAGAAGTATGCTGAAGTAGATCCACCAAAAATCATATGTCACAAAAACCATCCACGATTTTTGACTACCTGTCCACTTAGATTGACTTTAGAGTGTCAAGTAGCACTTAAAATTAAAATCTTTGAGAGCTTTGGAGGTGGTTAATTTGATTCACATATCATCAAGCTTCTAAGAGATGTGATCTAGCCTCCAATGGCACTGTTTAAGAATTGTTCATTACTTACCTGAAAGCTACATCTGCACAAGTAACAAAATATTTTTAGTTAAGTGTTTTATTGTTCTCATTTCCCACCAATGTTGAAACACAGATACACAAAGCAAGAAGTCATTAGTTTCTTCCAAAAAATATTGCACTTTTTTCCGCTGTATCTCCAATTCCCAGATACAGGTTATTTATAGCTGCCTTTATATCCCTTGGAAACTCTCTCATACTGACTGATGTTCATAATATCAAAGTGACAGTGTCTATAAAAAAGAAACAAGTCTTCAGCTGGTGTACAGACTTTGGACAGAGGAGAGGAGGAAAACAGCATTTATTGAGACAAAAGGGATAAATCCTAGCTGCAGGTGAGGATTCAGCTCAGGCGCTGGATTTACTTAAGACGTAATAAACTGCAGAGTTTGCCAGCAGAGTTCTGTTAACATAAGTGTGTGTCTTGTTGTTTTATTCTGCAGTTTAAACAGAGCAAAGCGGAGGGTTGATGCCTTTTCCCCAGGTGTGGATTTAGGGTTGTAAAAGCACCCTGTGTGTGTTTGGACTTCATGTTTTCTCACTCGAACACGCTTTTGGCAGATGTGACATAGCCCAGTGGTCCGCCCTGATGAAGACAAGGCAACTTGTGTGTTTGTGTGTTTTCATTACAGGACGTTTATCAGGCTGCGTGTGTGTGTACATGTGTGTGTGTGTGTGTGTGTGTGTGTGTGTGTTTGTGTGTGTGTGTGTGTGTTTTACAAAATGTCTGAAAAGGATAAATAGAGCTCAGTGTGCAACAGGTGTAGCTCTCAGTTGGAGCTGATTTGCTGCTATCAGCGGGTGCAGCGTAGCCTCCAGCATCAGCGGCGCAGAAACCCCACAGATTTAGAAAAAAGCACCACCAGATTGCAGTATGCAGCGGGTATGCAGCATTACACATCGGGCTTGTTTAATTGTTGTGTTGGGTGGTGCCTGCAAGCGATTGTCCAATTCTAGTGAGGGAACAAAGCCAACATTGTTATCGCCGGCACCCAGACCTGCCTGCCAATATACCTGCTTTCCTGCAGACTGAAGGAGGGAGAAGGGGGGAAGGGGGTGAGGTTTGGGGTGACAATGACAAATCAAACTTGTTCCATTTTCCCTCCTTTCTCTTTGTTTGCTCTTTTGTTGCAAAGCTGCCCCCAACAGGCTTAAACTCATGATGCTGCTGCGATAGGAGGACTTGTTTTCTGTTATCAAGAAAAAAACACAAGGGGAACATTTACCTCCATCTCTCATCACTCCATCATCTCTCTCTCTCCTTTTCTCTCCTTTCCCTTACATCTTTATGGTTCCTTATTTTTGTGGCAATGTGGCCACACTCCATTGACTCAGCTGGCTTCCTGATAATACTGCAAGGCAGAAGGCGGGATCATGCTGCCGTCTGGCTCATACAGATTAAGAAATGAAACTTTTTTTTTTTTTCTTCCTGTTCATCATTAGGGATTTGTTGCAGAAACAAAGTGATTTTTGCACTTTCTCATTAACTTTGCTCTAAACTTTTGCAACTCTACTCTGCCCACCTACTCTTACTTTCTTACTTCCCCTCTAAGGTTCTCAAAATTTTCAGTACTTTGAGGCTTTTCAATACCTACTTCTTTGAAATGACAGAATATCTATATATATATATGTTCACTACAGGCTAAAAGTTTGGAAGCAAGGCCATTACAAGCCGAACAGTTGGGAGTAACTTCAAGTTTTTTTTCACAATGCTTTTTTTTTAAATCCAGCACAAGTTTTATGTATTTTGGGATGTATTTACTCCATGATCAGAAGTTGCTTTCATGGAAATGCACCATTTTACTTCATTTACCTTTAGAAATACATTGATGTTAACAGACCATTGCTAAATATATGTCAGCAAAAGAAAGTAAGGGCTTAGTTTTAGGGTTGAAAACAGTTGCAAGAGTCACAACTTCAGTTCAAAAGCAAAAAAAACAAATCACAGTTGGATTAGTCACTTCAACTTTTTGGCTTTTGAGAGCCTGCGTACAAAAATCCTAGTAAATCTCAACTGCGTTCAAACTACCACAAAATGGCAAGAAAGAAGCAACTAAGTAAAGAAACAAAAGTACAGATTTGTACATTGAGGAAAGAAGGATACACAGAAAGAGAAATTGCAAAACGCCTAAAGGTGTTTAACAAAGGAGTCCACTACACTCTGAAGAGACTAGAGGAAGCTGGAAGTTATGATGATAGAAAAAGGCCTAGATGAAAGAGAGTTACAACAAAAGCAGAGGATAAACATATCATTGTCATCAGTAATAGAGATCGGCAAAAGACAGCACCAAAAATAAGGAAGGAAATCAACATGACAAGGTTGAAACCCATATCTCTGACAACCGTGAAATGACGTTTGAGAAAGGCTGGTCTGAAGGGTTGTGTGTCTGCAAAAAAAAACACTACTTCGTCCACAGAACAAGAAAAAGAGATATGAGTGGGCAAAAGCTCACAAAAATTGGACTTATGATGACTAGAAACAAGTTTGCACTGTTTGGGTCAAAATGCAGAGTCTACGTTTCTGTCAGTCTGCCCCAGGGCAACTGTGACTACTAAGGAAGTTTACCACCACCAAAGTGTGACTGTGTGAGTGAATGAATGATGTATCCAATGTAAAGCGCTTTGAGGGTCTCTGATAAAGCGCTATAAAAATCTGATGCATTATTATTATTATTATTATTATTATGTCTGCTGACAAACTGGTGAACGTCTGAAAGCACCATGTGTTACACCCACAATTCAGCATGGAGGTGGTAGTTTCATGGTATGGGAATGTTTTGCAGGTGATGGAGTAGAAGATTTGTTTGAAGTAAAGGGTATCATGAAGAAGGAACAGTACCACTCCATCCTCCAGCACCATGCTGTCCCATCTGGACTCAGACTTGTGGCTCATAAGTTTGTTTTGCAGCAAGACAATGACCCTAAGCACTCTGCCAAGCTCTGTCAGGGTTACCTAGACAAAAAAGAAGAGGACTGTGATCTTCAAAAGATGGGTTGGCCCCCTCTGTCTCCAGTTTCTCCAATTGAGCTTGTGCAGGATGAATTGGATCGATTGGTCCCACAAATCAGCAGTCTCTTTTTAATGAACTTAAGAAAGCTTGGAATGCAGTCCCTGGAACATACCTTAAAAAACTTGTGGAACGAATGTCTGGTATATGCCAAGCTGTTGTTAAAGCCAGAGGAAGTTACTTTAAAGAAAACAAAGTCTAAGCAACAATAACTCAAATACCTAATAATTATAGTCAAAATGTCTTCTGATAAGTTACTCTTTACACAATAGTCATGTTTATTGTGTTGCAAATTATATATATGAAACTATGATCTTTTTTTGTACAAATCTGATCTTGCTTCCAAACTTTTGGCCTGTAGTATACATATATACACTCACCGGCCACTTTATTAGGTACACCTGTCCAACTGCTCGTTAACACTTAATTTCTAATCAGCCAATCACATGGCGGCAACTTAGTGCATTTAGGCATGTAGACATGGTCAAGACAAATCTCCTGCAGTTCAAACCGAGCATCAGTATGGGGAAGAAAGGTGATTTGAGTGAGTTTGAACGTGGCATGGTTGTTGGTGCCAGAAGGGCTAGTCTGAGTATTTCAGAAACTGCTGATCTACTGGGATTTTCATGCACAACCATCTCTAGGGTTTACAGAGAATGGTCCGAAAAAGAAAAAATATCCAGTGAGCGGCAGTTCTGTGGGCGGAAATGCCTTGTTGATGCCAGAGGTCAGAGGAGAATGGCCAGACTGGTTCGAGCTGATAGAAAGGCAACAGTGACTCAAATAACCACCCGTTACAACCAAGGTAGGCAGAAGAGCATCTCTGAACGCACAGTACGTCGAACTTTGAGGCAGATGGGCTACAGCAGCAGAAGACCACACCGGGTGCCACTCCTTTCAGCTAAGAACAGGAAACTGAGGCTACAATTTGCACAAGCTCATCGAAATTGGACAATAGAAGATTGGAAAAACGTTGCCTGGTCTGATGAGTCTCGATTTCTGCTGCGACATTCGGATGGTAGGGTCAGAATTTGGCGTCAACAACATGAAAGCATGGATCCATCCTGCCTTGTATCAACGGTTCAGGCTGGTGGTGGTGGTGTCATGGGGTGGGGAATATTTTCTTGGCACTCTTTGGGCCCCTTGGTACCAATTGAGCATCGTTGCAACGCCACAGCCTACCTGAGTATTGTTGCTGACCATGTCCATCCCTTTATGACCACAATGTACCCAACTTCTGATGGCTACTTTCAGCAGGATAATGCGCCATGTCATAAAGCTGGAATCATCTCAGACTGGTTTCTTGAACATGACAATGAGTTCACTGTACTCAAATGGCCTCCACAGTCACCAGATCTCAATCCAATAGAGCATCTTTGGGATGTGGTGGAACGGGAGATTCGCATCATGGATGTGCAGCCGACAAATCTGCGGCAACTGTGTGATGCCATCATGTCAATATGGACCAAGCTCTCTGAGGAATGCTTCCAGCACCTTGTTGAATCTATGCCACGAAGAATTGAGGCAGTTCTGAAGGCAAAAGGGGGTCCAACCCGTTACTAGCATGGTGTACCTAATAAAGTGGCCGGTGAGTGTATATATATATATATATATATGTATATATATATATATATACATATGTGTGTGTGTGTGTGTGTGTGTGTGTGTGTGTGTGTATGTACAGTTCAAACCAGAAGTTTACATACACTATATAAAAAGGCACATAACCTTTTTTTTCTTACTGTCTAACATTAAATCAGATTCAGCTTTTTCTGTTTTGGGTCAATTAGGATTACCAAAATTATTTTTATATGCTAAATGTCAGAATAATGAGAGAGAGAATTTTTTAGACAATTTTTTTATTGCTTTCTCGAGAGTCAAAAGTTGTCATACACTAAGATGACTATGCCTTTAAACAATTTGGGAAAGTCCAGATGATAGGTTTATTGACAACATTTGATTTAATAAGGGACACACCTGTGGATGTATTTTAGGGCAAACCTGAAACACACTGCTTCTTTGTGTAACATCATGGGAAAAAAATCTAAAGCAATCAGCCAAGATATCAGGAAGAGAATTGCTGGACTTACACAAGTCTGGTTCATCCTTGGGTGCAATTTCCAGATGCCTAAAGGTGCCATGTTCATCTGCTCAAACAATTATATGCAAGTATAAACACCATGGAAATGTCCAGACATCATACCACTCAGGGAGGAGACAGGTTCTGTGTCCCAGAGATAAACGTTCTTTGGTCCGAAATGTGAATATCAACCCAAGAACAACAGCGAAAGCCCTTGTGAAGATGCTGGCTGAAGCTGGTAAGGGTGTGTCATTATCAGCAGTGAAGCGAGTCCTGTCCCAACATGGGCTAAAAGGCCACTCTTCCAGGAATAAGCCATTTCTCCAAAAGAAACCTAAAAGGCCAGATTAAAGTTTGCAAATACACACAGGGACAAAGACCTTAATTTTTGGAGACATGTCCTGTGGTCTAACAAAACTAAAATTGAACTTTTGGTCATAATGTCCATTGTTACATTTGGAGGAAAAAAGGGGAAGCTTGCAAGCCTGAAAACACCATCCCAAATGTGAAATATGGGGTTGACAGCATCATGTTGTGAGGTTGTTTTGCTGCAGGCGGGACTTGTGGACTTCACAAAATAGATGGCATCATGAGGAAGGAACATTATGAGGAAATACTGAGGAAATACATCTCAAGACATCAGCCAGGAAATTGAAGCTTGAGCGCAAATGGGTTTTCCAGTGACCCTAAGCATACTGCCAAACTGGTTACAAAGTGGCGTAAGGATAACAAAGTCAGTGTTTTAAAGTGGCCATCACAAAGCCCTGATCGCAATCTTATCGAAAATTTATGGGCAGAACTGAAAAGTCATGTGCAAGCATAGTGACTTAAAGACTGTACTGCAGAAATTCTGCCAGCACGTCAAGTGCCCAACAAGGGGAGAAAACACTCTGGATCATGTGTACTCCAACATCAAACATGGTTACAGAGCCACACCCCTCCCCCACCTCGGACAGTCAGACCATATCTCCCTGCTGCTCACCCGTGCATACACCCCCCTCAGACGCACATCCAGGCCCACAACAAAGACCATCACCACCTGGCCTGAGAGTGCATTCAGTAGCCTTCAGGACTGTTTCCACCACACAGACTGGGAACTGTTTGAGCACCAGGATCTGGACACATTCACAGGGACTGTACTGGACTACATCAAGTTCTGTATGGGAACTGTGTGTGTGGACAAAGTCATACAGGTATATTCCAACCAGAAACTCTGGATGACCAGCCAGGTCCGCTCCCTCCTCAAAGCCCGCGACTTCACTTTCAGATCAGGGGACAGAGCCCTCTACAGCACTGCTCAAGCTGACCTGAAGAGAGGAATTAAAAGAGCCAAAGTGAACTACAAGTGGAAAATAGAGTCCCACCTCGCCAGCAACAGACCACGGGAGGTGTGGCGGGGTCTACAGGACATCACAAACTTCAGAGGCTGTGATGTGACATCAGGAGACCTAAGTGTGTCGCTGGCAGAGGAGCTCAACAGCTTCTTTGCCCACTTTGAAACGCCACCGTGTGGCAGGGGCAGGACTAGTTCCTCTGAACTAGTCCTGCCCCTACCACCTCCCCCACCAGGCCCCCCCACCCACTGTGGAAGAGGACGATGTGAGGCGTGTGCTCCTGGCAGTAACCCCCAGGACAGCCCTTGGCCCTGATGGAGTACCTAGACAGGTGCTTAGAGCATGCGACCAGCAGCTGTCCACCATCTTCTGCAGGATCCTCAACCTGACAGTGGCCCAAGCAGTTATCCCCACCAGCCTGAAGTCAGCCACAATAATCCCCGTCCCAAAGTCATCACCCATATCCATCCTCAGTGACTACCGCCCTGTGGCCCTCAACACCTGTCATCATGAAGTGCTTCGAGAGACGGGTTATCCGGCACATCAAGGACTCCACACATTCAGGTTCCTGGGATTCCAGATCTGTGACGACCTCTCCTGGTCAGCCAAAATCACTGCCATCATAAAGAAGGCCCAGCAGCAGCTGCACTTCCTGAGAGTCCCCAGGAGGAACCAGCTGGACAGGGAGCTGCTGCTGGCCTTCTACCACTCATCCATCGAGAGCCTGCTGATGTACTGCATCACCACATGGTACGAAAGCTGCACCGAGGCGGACAGAGGGAGGCTCCAGAGGACAGTCAAAACAGCACAGAGGATCATTGGCTGCCCTCTCCCCTCCCTGACGGACATCTACTCCACCCGGTGCCTCAGCAGAGCTCAAAACATCATCCAGAACCCTTCACACCCCGGTGCCCAGCTGTTTGACCTGCTGCCCTCTGGGAGGCGCTACAGGTGCATCAAAGCAAGAACTGACAGACTCAAAAACAGCTTCTTCCCCCGAGCCATCACCATCTTAAACTCCCATAAACCAGCTTCAGCCCTCAAGATGAGATAACAAGTGCAATATTACCAATGTTACTGCTGCTGTGTTGATTATTATATTCTTAACCTGTGCAATACATGTCCATATTCATATAAAAAAATTTACATATATACATATATTCCAACACACATATATATATTTATTTTTGATAATTCTCTTTAGTATTTATCTTTCTATTTTATTCTTATACCTAAGTTTTATTTTAATATTCTGTAGAATTCTTGTCTTGTATATATATTTCCTTCTTTCTTACAACTATTTGTACTTTTACTACCTTATTTTTACTTGTCTATTGCACTGGAAAGGAGAAGCTCTCCAATCTCATAGTACTTATAGTATGATGACAATAAAGGACATTTTGATTCTGATTCTGATTCTGGCCTACAAACTTGGCTCAGTCACACCAGTTCTGTCAGGAGAAATGGGCTAAAATTCCTGCAAACTATTGTGAGGAGCCTGTGGAAGCATATCCAAAACATTTGACCCAAGACATACAATTTAAAGGCAGCTACCAAATAGTAATGAAATGTATGTAAACTTTTGACTCTTGAGAAAGTAATAAAACATTGTCTAAAAAATTATCTCTCATTATTTTGGCCTTTAAGATATAAAAACAATTTTGGTAATCTTAATTGACCAAAAACAGGAAAAGTTTAATCTGATTTAATGTTAGATGGTGTAATGGTGTTAGATGGTGATGATGTAAACTTCTGATTTCAACTGTACATATATATATATATGCTCAGTGCATCCCTCTGCAAAAACAGACTGTTTGTAAACCTAGCATTAAACAGTATTTGTCACTACCGCTGTTTAAAATTTCCAAGGAGGAGGTGAAATCACTGTTCACAGATGCTTTTCAAAGTAAAAGTCTTTTTTATTCATATATATTTTCGTATAATATTTTCCTGTAGTGTAGGAATTTGTGGAAAAAATTTTGCATTTAAGTCAATGAGACAAGCCAAAAAAGGGCAATTATTGGGTTTTGGCTATGTTTACCTCAGACCTTTACATCTGTTGCAGACAGACCGAGAGTGGAGGAGAGAACTAGCCATGACAGCTGGTTCATTTATGTTTTCTATTAGTCCTACCCTGTGAATTGTTTACAGGGAGCCTCACAGCTCTGCACAACGCCCATAAAATGACCAAATTAGTGACCACATAGGAAAACACAGACAGAGAGCAGAGCACAGCCTCAGCTCATACACACACCTCCTCTGGGTTATGAAAAACAATTTAGGGGAAGTGTTTTATTTTCATCGTTGACATTATTTACAGGGGAAATACTTTTTTTAATTTCCATTACTATTAACAGTACACCAAATGTTTTCGGTGTTCAGGAGTTATTAAGACTTTTTCTGCACCAGCTCTATTATTGTTGCAATGGTTTCCTAAAAGGTGTTTGATTTGTACTGTCATAGCAAGGTTCAAATTCTGTTATCACTGCACTATTCCCAACCTCATCTTTGGAAAGGTTTAGGTCAATAGGAAGCAGTTTCATTTTGTTTCCGTTGCCTCAGTTCCTCCAAAAACGGACCCCCATAGACTGTGTTTGCTAAAAATATTCCTACCTCTTCTCAGTATATTAAAAAAAATCCTGCATGAATTGTTTACATAGGTATGATATAATTACCATTTTCACCACAGACTTAATTATTTTCTTTCAGGTTATACTTTTGGCCATTTTTGCCTTTATTATACAGGACAGCTGAAGAGAGAGCGAATACATGGAGAGAGCGGAGCTAGACATGCAGCAGGAGATGCAGGAAGTTATTTTCATGTGTGCATAAGATGATTTACAAGATGAAAATGAGCATCTTATGGGACATAAGAGGTTGGAACAGACCAGTTATTGGTGATCATCTGGCCAACATTGGGTCTGGCTGATTTTCTGTATGTGCCTTTTATTTTCAGATGGCTGATAAAATCACGTCATCAAAAAGTACTCTACCTTTGCTGAGCTGAGGATGTGTCTTTCCCTCTGGGTCTGTTTTCTTTCACCATGTTGTCTCTGTGATATTACAGATTCCATATGTTGACAGAGCTTCTTTTTTCCCCTAAATATCAGTCCCAAACATTGCAAATAACCATTGTGAGTATCACTTTTCATATAGACCACCTCAGCAAGCAGAACAGGTTAAATCAGCAGCAAATGTCCAGTATCTGTGGTGGAGAATGTGCTTTATTAAAGTGTGTCCACTAAACACGGTAATTGACTTCTCTGCAAACATTATGAAAGTATTTGGAGCTGGCATAACACAGTCCATACTCAAGAAAATACAATGACTTGAATAATATCCAGCAAAGTAATTAAGCGTTTGACACCCAGTGTTTCATGAACCCATCTGCACAAAAACTGACAAGGCTGTCCTCATAAATGTTCAGATTTTTCAATAAGCCCTATGAGTCAAGAGTCAAGTAGCTTGCTTAGCTCAGTCTGGGATAAAGACTCCATGCAGAGATAGCAGCATACTAACACATTTCTCTCGTTAGTGAAAAAGCACACCTATAGAGCATATTAAATTTTCACATTTTCTGTTGAAATTGCTGTAAAAGTAAGTCCTAACCAGTCTTGAACAATATTCACCTTCAATGAGAGAGTAATCCCTCTTTTTGTATCATTCAGTAGTGGTACATTGTCCGTATTAATGTACAGTCTGTGTTTTTTATAGCAGCTTTATTTGTTTTTCATGTTTTTCAATGTATGTAGTGTGTTTGAAGTCATTTTCTCTGAAGCATTGTGAAAGCATCATGAGATTTAGACAGTAGTTATTAAGACTAGCTTAAACAATAGCTGTATTTATCTAACTCCATGTTTCATCCAGTGAGGGTCTGCTCAGATATCTTCTCGTTCTTCAGTTATAGCTTTATTTTTTTCTTCTTCTCTTCTTAATCCATCTTTTCTGTATTTTCTGTCCTTCTCATCATCTCCTCTCATTTTCTCCACCCTGACGGTGCAGGGAAATGGCCCATTGTAGAAGAGCAGACTGTGTGCGTCTGAGACATTAGCTGCTGATTTAGTGGGACATTAGCTTGATGGATAGCTCAGCACCAGACTCCAAATAACAGTTGATATGCATCTAGAAAAACTTTTGGTCTGAGATGGAGCAACACTAAGCACTCATTTTTTTGTGTTCTGTGCTTGATGATGACTTTCTCAGCCCCACTGTCTTGAGATGAACTCTTCAGACCTTTATTGCTCTGAACTGAGCTGTATCAGAGCGACTGAACACATTTTTATCTGAGCTTTGTGGTAAAATACTGAAAATAGATTTTCAAGCCTTTGAGCTTGATAGATGATAAATACTCTGTTGAGCTAACTTGAGTTTGAGTGGATGAGAAATAGAGCCTGTCTGAGGGAATGAAATACTGGATAACATCTTTCTAACTGTTCTTGAGACCACAGTTTATTATCATTGCTTATCCAGCAGCCAAGTGTGACATGTGCAATAACAGAGGACAGTGGTAAATTATTTCATGCACTGTTTTCAGTCTTATTTTACTGGTGTGAAATTTTGTGTGCCTCAGGGGTCGTTTAAGGTCCAAATTTTTTTCCTTATAAATCATCACCCTGGGTGTGTCAGGAGGTGAACCATGGATCGTTTCATCTTTATGCAGATGACACTCATTTGTACAGACCCTGGTATGCTGTGCTCAGTGAACGATTGTCTGTCTGAGATTGAGAGTTGTATGTTGAGGAATTCTTCACTTCTGAATTCAACCAGGAAATCATTATGATTGGACCACAGCATATGGCAAAGCAAATCTTCTCTTCAAATGGTCAGATATTGGAGCATGTCAAACCTGCAGCAAAGAACCCAGTTAAAGTGCCACTGGCTTGGTGGTCTTCACGAGCACCTCATATTGTAAGATTGGGCCTTGGCTGGATGGTTTGGGTTTGATTCATTCCCATGTGCCGCTCTCCATCCTCTGTCCCCTGCTTCCTTGCTTCTGTTTCTCTCAAGGCAAAAATCCCCAAAACATAATTAAAAATAATAGTAATTCTGGCACCTGGTTTGACAATAGTTTGACATTAAGGATGCAACAAAGCTAGTACAATCATATTTTTATCACCTCTGAAATGTTTCTAAAATTTGGTCAATTTTTACTCCTAAAGACACAATTTTACATATATATATATATATATATATATATATATATATATATATATGTATATTTTAATCCAATAATGCCTTGATGATTGTAACAGCCTTATAACCTGCATGAACCTAAAATTAATAAAACCTAAAACTTGTCATCTACTAGAAGTATTATGCTTCCCAGTAATAGCGTAGTTTGATCATGCAGGAAATAAAGCCACTTAAACTCAAGACAAACAAGTTTTTAAAATAAAAATAATTTTGACACAGTGTCCTCTATAAACAAGTTTCACTCACAGGCTGATGGTGTGGATGACTCACTAATTTGAGCAGTTTAAAAATGATGATTTGTAAGCTGAGTTGATTCATGAGTTTATGAAGTAGTATTTTGTTTCGCCGTTGTCTTCACTGGTTGTTGTTAACTCTTTAAGGGGGGGGTTCAGACCCTATATTTCCCCTCTGCTTTGTCTTTAGCAAACAACATCAAACAAAGCCTCCTGTTTCTCAATCCGGTGTATTAAAATATCATTATTTCAGCCTTCATCTGAAACGCTTTGTGTAAGCTGCTGTCTCTTTAAGCCCCCCCCCTCTGCAAGCCTACTTTCTTCTGATTGGCCACCTCTGTGGAGGCTGGCTGAGGGCAGAGCTTGATGTTCTGGCTCTGCCCCCTTCCTTGGGGTCAATAATTAGAGCAGTAGAACAGTGGAGCAGTATTTCCCTGCCCCACTTTGTGTGTCACCTCACACACTGTTGGAGGCAGGCAGTTCTGCTTTGCCTGAAGCTCAGATGAACCAGTAAGGAGAGGCTGTAAGACCTACGTTAGCATTGTAGTGTCTCACATTTTCTTGCAAGTTGGGTTTTAGCAGTCTACATATTATCTAAGATTATGACAAAATTTGTTTACCCGATGGTTTTAAACTTTGCATACAAACTTTGTAACTATGAAGTTTTGTTGTAAATGTGGAGAAGCATCATACTGCCCCTTTTAAGTTTCCCATAAAAATCACAGTTATATCATCATTGTAATATTTTACGACCAAGGTAATTTAGAGGTAGGAAATCTGATGTCATGGCAGCTGTAGTTTAGAGAAAATTAAACTGGCCATTATGCATATCTGGTTATATTTCAATCATGATTCATATGGCCTTCCTTCCTTATCAATGCTTTTTTTAAAATCCTGCATGAGTTTTATGTATTTTGGGATGTATTTACTCCATGATCAGATGTTGCTTACATGGAAATGCACCATTTTACTCCATTTACCTTTAGACATTGATGTGAACAGACCATTGCTAAATATATGTCAGCAAAAGATAATAAGGGCTTAGTTTTAGGGTTGAAAACATTTGCAAGAGTCACAACTTCAGTGCAAAAGCAAAAAAACAAATCACAGTTGGATTATTCACTTCAACTTTTTGGCTTTTCAGAGTCTACATAAAAAAATCCTAATAAATCTCAACTGCGTTCAAACTACCACAAAAATGGCTAGAAAGAAGCAACTAAGTAAAGAAACAAAAGTACAGATTTGTACATTGTGGAAATTATCCATTTGTGGATAATTTTGGCTGTGATGATGCAAATGGCATAAAAGTGTGTCAAAGTGTGTAATTTTAGGTGCAATTAAATTTTTTTCTTTTCTTCCTTTGATCTTTTTTTTCATGTGAGCAATTTTTATTACTACAGTAGACACCCCTAAGGACCAAAACGGTCCCATTGACTCCCATTAAAACATGTTTTCTTCAATACACTGCCAATGCAGTAAAATTTTTGGATATTTTTTTTTCTCATGTACACCTATTCCTTGAGAGTCAAACTGGGTTTTTTTATGCAGACAGCAGATGGTGCCATTTTTCTTTTTCCTGCAATACCCTTTAGAACCAGAGGGGCACTGTTTTCCCTTTTTCACAGAGCTGGTGTATTTCATGCATATAGATAGACAGATTGATAAATAAATACTTTATTGCTCCCAAACTGGAAAATTCTCACGTTACAGCAGCGAAAAAATACAAGATAAAATTAAATATAAGAAGAAGTATGTACAATGCAGATTACAAATACTAAATATATACAAAAAATACAGGCTAAATATACTAAACATCTTTAGAGAGAAAATAAATTCAATAAAAACTGTTTAGGTGTGTTTTAGGGACATCATGGTTTATGTGCATGTGTTTTCATGAATTACTTGTGTGTGTGTGTGTGTGTGTGTGTGTGTGTGTGTGTGTGTGTGTGTGTGTGTATGTGCATATGCAGCCGTGAGAATAGCCAAAATCCTTCCAGAAACAGCGGCAGTTGTACAATCTGCACCTGCAGTTTCCTTCTGTGTGTGTGTGTGTATATATGTGTGTGTGTCTGATTGTATGTGCAAGTGTGTGTGTGTGTGTGTGTGTGTGTGTGTTTGTGGGTGTGTGTGTGGGTGTGTGCGCGCGTGTGTGTGAGCGAGCGCAAGAGGTTTATAGTGGGCACCTGATCGATGTGCGTGCGTAGACGCAAGGAAGCGATGGAAGGTGTGTGTGTGTGTGTGTGTGTGTGTGTGTGTGCGTGTGTGCGTGTGTGTGAGATTGTGTTTGCGTGTGTGAGCGCACGCACGAGGTTCATAGCGGGCACCTGAAGAGGGAGAGCTTCATCGATGTGCGTGCGTAAAAGCAAAGGATGGATGGATGGATGGATGGATGGTGTGTGTGTGTGTGTATTATTCAACACAACAGAAAAAATACAAATCCTTTCAAATCAATTTTCTCATCAATGTTTACCAATCTCATGCTCTAATAATCAAAAGTTCAAAAAAAAATGCATTTATAGGATGGAAAATAATTCACCAAGTGTGTTTTTTGACTTTAAATAATATCCCGTTTTTTACAAAAAAGGGTTAAAATACAAAACCTGAATAAAGTTTTGCTATTTATGATTAGGTTATAAGTCAATGATGGCAGCCAAAAAAAAAAAAATTAAATATATTTATTTAGACCATATTTCTACTGCAGCAAAGTGGAGGGGACTGTTTTGGTTCCTTAGGGGTGTTAATTGAAGTTTTTCTTAGGGATGCACAAGGGCTAGAAACAAGTTTGCACTGTTTGGTTCAAATCGCAGAGTCTATGTCCGCAGACAAACTGGTGAACGTCTGAAAGCACCATGTGTTACACCCACAATTCAGCATGGAGGTGGTAGTTCCATGGTATGGGGATGTTTTGCAGGTGATAGAGTAGAAGATTTGTTTGACATAAAGGGTATCATGAAGAAGGAACAGTACCACTCCATCCTCCAGCACCATGCTGTTCCATCTGGACTAAGACTTGTGGCTCATAAGTTTGTTTTGCAGCAAGAAAATGACCCTAAGCACTCTGCCAACCTCTGTCAGGGTTACCTAGACAAAAAAAGAAGAGAAAGGTGTTCTTCAAAAGATAGTTTGGCCCCCTCAGTCTCCAGACGTTTTTCCAATTGAGCTTGTGCAGGATGAATTGGATCAATCGGTCAGAAAAATGCGTCCCACAAATCAGTAGTCTCTTTTTAATGAACTTAAGAAAGCTTGGAATGCAATCCCTGGAACATACCTTAAACCTTGTAAAGACTTAACGTGGATATCATGAGGCTGCACTCCCAGTACTCCCACTGCAGCCGAGTCAGCGCTGTGAGCTCTTCCATCTTGTTGGGGAGAGACCTCACGTTTCCCATAATGATTGAACGGTACAGTTGGCTTAAAATGTCTCCGCTTCGCCCGATGCTGAACTCTGGCTCTGCATCCTCTCCTCCTGCGGAGATTAGCAGGGATGTCCGGTCTCTCCCACGAAGGTGGCTGGGCTTGGCGCAACGCCAACAGCTGTTCATGGCTGTAAACAATAGAGCCGCTGAACGGGTCGCCAGACGCAGAGTTAAAAATGCCAAGAAGTAAAGGAAAAAAAAGTGCCAGAGTCATGAAATGTATGGAAGCGATTGTGAGTCATCTCAAATTCAGAAGCATTAGCAGAAATGCTTTTTTAAATAAAAAGCAGAAATGCTTTTTTTAAATAAAAGCAAAATCACATTTAACATTTAATTTTCAAAACATTCACCAGCAAAAAGGTAATTTCATTTTATTTATATAGCACGATTTAAACAAACACAAGGTTTCCAAAGTGCTGCACAGCAAGATAAAAATACAGTAAGTAACAGAACAGAAGCACAATAAAACAATGAAGATAAAATAAAATTAGATAAAAACACAGTACAATTAAATAAAAAGCAAATAAAATCCATAAAAGACAATAAAAATGAAATCAACCTTCTACTGAGTGTTAAAAGCCAATGAGAAGAGGTGGGTCTTGAGATAGGATTTAAAGAGGGGAGAGAGAGGAGGCCTGTCCGATATGCTGGGGCAGGTTATTCCAGAGTTTAGGAGCTGCAACAGCAAAGGCATGATCCCCTCTGAGCTTCTGCTTTGTTTAAGGCTCTCTCAGGTCAGCTGATCAGCTGACCTGAGAGACCGGGACGGAGTGTAAAAATGTTGAAGCTCAGAGAGGTACAGCGGGGCAAGACCGTTCTCCTGAAATGTCAAATACAAAAATTCAAAAGCATTAGCAGAAATGCTTTTTCATTTCAAAGTCATGGCTGCACTATTTCACTCAAAAATAAAAATAAAAAGCAATATTCCAAAATGCATATTCATTTTCTTCTTCGACTGCACATTCTGTGACTAAATTAAAAGAAAAAACAAACTCAGAAATGCTTTTTCGTTTTCAAGCTCGCCCCGCAAAAAGTGTCTCATAATTCAATCTGAGTTCGCAATCTCAAGTGACGCCGGAAAGTAACGTCACGGACCCCACTCGTTCTGGCCTCTTCTGGCCGATAGGGGGCAGTGAATCCGTGTTTCATTGAATAAATTCAAACCGCAGATGGTGGCTATCTGTTTCAGCGGACTAACAGACTTAATACTCCTCATTGTTCTCATCGCTGATCGATGGATTTGGGATATTTTGCAAATAAAGGGCCATAAACACAGTGACCAAAATGGTCATAGAGATGCCTTAAAAATACATGGCACGGAGGCAGAATCACTGCAGTCTCTGTCCGTGTTAACCTGTCACTGTATGCAGATGTCAGCGGTGTGTCAGTGTGCTGGTCCTTTTACTCACTCACTTACGGCATGGAGACGTGGACTCAACACTGCTAATTAAAAAGAAAGACAAATACTGTGCAAAAAACAACAAAAAGGCTTGCTGCCACTCTCAGGGCGCTCAGTCACCTACTGATAAGTTACTCTTTACACAATAGTCAAGTTTATTGTGTTGCAAATTTTATATATGAAACTATGATTTTTTTTGTACAAATCTGATCTTGCTTCCAAACTTTTGGCCTGTAGTGTACCTCAGCATTGCTTTAATGACTGAATTTTCACCAGGGGATAAAAAAATATTCTGATTTTCTTTTTACCATCAGTGCTTGTTGACCCCTGTAGTGGCTCCTTAGCTTTTGTTGCATATATTACTGAACTAAACTTTTTCTTATCCAGACATGTTCAGTATTTTTTTTTTTCTTTGTCAATGCAAAGCATCTCTGCAGTAGGGTGTAGTCAGTCAGTTGGTCAGCCAGTCAGTCGCTCTCTATTTTATTCCAATCTTTAGTGTGAGATCATCCTGGATCCCCCGAGGGTTAATGCTGCCTCCTCTGGCAGGCATGATAAACTCAGCAGTGAATCAGTGTCAGTATTTTTATTTTCTGTAGCATGTGCATGTTTTGATATTAGAGAGGAACATCTGAAAAAGTTCCCTCTAAGTGCCAAGCAGCTGAACCTGTGAGGATATATATGACTGAAAATAAAAATAAAAAATCCTGTAGTCTGGGCTCAGGCTGAGAAAAACTAGTTTTCTGGTACTAGTGCTTGCTCTGACACACACAAACACGCACACACACACACACACACACACACACACACACACACACACACACACACACACACACACACACACACACACACCTGTCTCTTCCCCTAGTCTGTCTCCTCCTGCCTCTCTCTCTCTCTCTCTCTGACACAGCAGAATGGATGTCCCCTTCATTTGCTGTGGCATAATGTTCAGATGAAAAATGAAGTGATCCCTCCAGACAGATTAGTCATCAGTGAGGGGACCTCTGCAGAAAAAGAGGGCGTAGGTGTGTGTGTGTATGTGTGTGTGTGTGTGTGTGTGTGTGTGTGTGTGTGTGTGTGTGTGTGTGTGTGTGTGTGAGTGTTTGTGTGTTTGAAACAGATAAATTGCAGTCCTGGAGGCTTTCTACTTGAGCGTGTAATATTTCAGCATATATTATTGCAGGGCTCAATCTGTTCGTATTAAGAGCTTTAATCCATTGTTCTGTTTTACTAACTAATGCTGAGCGGGAACTTTGACCAGCTTTAAAGAGGGGGTGGTATGCATTTTTTGACTACATTTCCCCTCTGATTCCTCTTTAATAGCTTCAAGGGATTTTTACCCCAAAAAGTCTCAGATTTCTCACAGTGGTGTATCAAAATATCATTATTTCAGCCTCCTTCTGAAACGTTTCATTTTAGATGCCGTCTCTTTAAGGCCCCACCCTCACAAGCCCACTTTCTCCTGATTGGCCACCTCTTTGAAGGCTTTCTGGAGGCTGGTTGAGGGCAGGGCTCGATGCTTTGGCCCTGCCCCCTCTTTTTTGGACTGATCAGCGAAACAGCAGCGTTGCCGTGCTCTGCTGTGGGTGTCACCTCGCACACTGTTGGAGGCAGACCGTTCTGCTTTGCCTGAAGCTCAGATAAACCAGTAAGGCGAGACTATAACACTGACGTGGGCATTTTAGTAAGTCTCACGTTTTCTCGCAAGGTCCCATTTTTAGCAGTTTACATCTACTTTCTCAGATTATGACAGCATAAATATTGAATTTTCCTTCAGAGATAAATAAAGTTCTTCTTGAATTTTCCTTTGGGGATGAATCATGTTCTTCTTTTCTTATCTTAACTTATATGTTTACCTTGTGTATGACAGCATGATACCACCTATTTAAACATTTTAATTCATCAACTTAAAAAAGGTGCTTTCCCAAACAAATGCTTCTGTAGAGCTTTAAAGTCTGGTGGGTACAAAACCTATGCAAGTAAGCGTTTTTATTGGTCAGCATCCTTTGAACAAAAACACCCGTCATTAATTGTTTTTGTCACTGCATACACAACCATCTGCAGAAGCACTTAGCTGAAATTAGTCCAACTTTTTGAACACTACCACACCCAATAATGTCCCATTTTTTGTTTTTCATCTATAACCAATCAGATTAAAAATGGGCTGAACTTCTCATATCAGCTTTGCCAGCAACACTGGTGGAGCAAGAGCAGAGCACCTGATTTCCGTCTCTATATTTTTATCTGTAGTTTTATAGTTTCTTTGTAAATTTCCATTGACAGAAGGCAATTATGAGGCAAACAGTGCAATTCAAAACAGACTTGATGGTCACTGCTGAGGGAAGGGAAAGTGCCTTTGGACAATGAACAAGAGCCAGCAATAGTAAGCGCCAGTTATGAGCATTCAGACATCAAGATCCTGGGCACAGCCACTACAAAAATGTCATTAATGGACATGGACCCTAAATTAAGCAGGACTTAAAATCATAAACAAAGGCAGAGAATGAGAAATAAGAAATTTTTAGAAGATTTTGGATTAATTTCTTTGAAAGTAGTTTGTGATTTTGGTGATGAATAGGACATGTATCTTGGTTTAATAAGAGAGGATGTCACTAAAAATGGCAAAACTCTGTGTTCATCAAAGTGGTCTTTTATGGTAGTTGCCATCAAACGGCAACCTCTGGTCTTGAGAGATTAAAACAATGGATGCTGAAGTACAAAAATATACAGTTCCCCAAGCAGCCAAGAAGCTGGCTGCAGAAGCACCAGAAACCAAGTACACACTAAGCCAAAAAAAAAGATGTTTTTAGAGCAAAAATAAACATGTTTACATCGTGGGTCAAAAGACCGTTTTAGTCTGAATAACTAAGGGCACCCACAGCACCCACTCTACGGGGAGTGTATTTTTTGTTATGTATTCATTTCAAGGTTATGAAGGTAAATAAGCCTCTGATAGTTTGACTGAATGTTAGGTTGAGTCAGCGTTACCAATATGGGGACTTCCATAAAGCTTCAAAACTCTGCTTCATAAAAAAATAGGTGATGTCACCAATGCTATGTCCAGCATTTATACAGTCTATGGTTTTCACATAAAATGCAAGATGGACAAATAAATAGCAGGCTACTAGCAAGCTGGCTGAAGCAGCCCTCTGAGTGATGATTGGGTACTTTTATAGCTTATGCTCAAGATTTATTGTGATTCAGAAACAATGTTAGAAAGTGTGCCACTTCAGGTTAATGAACATTTCCACTTTTTGACTGTTCTTTGAATGATTTTCATTCAGTTTTGTAATGCACAATTTGTCGGAAGAAGTGTACAGGAGATAAAGCAACTGAAACAAACAAATATGAGAAACAATTATTTAATCAGGCAATGTTCTCTCAAAGGAAGTTTCAGAGACAGGGCTGATGAAATCTTAGATCTGAATATTGTGTGAAATGGATGATAACATGTAAGATGATTGCACTTTTTAGTTAAGTTTATGAAGTGTTAGCATGCTGCTCATTCCTCAGTTCGACTGCTTGGGTTCTTTTATTTTACAGTTGTCAAAATAATTATATTATTATGATGTTTGTAGCCACAATAAGGCCATAAAGAGGTTAAAGTCTGATACCATGACAGCCTCTCTTCACCTATAGAGATGTTGTAGTGAATCCTTTCCATAGGCCACACAATTTAAAACAACATGAGCAAGCTGTTGCACAGGCTTTTAAGAGCACGGTGTTGGGTTAGAGTTTTTGAGTCAAGCACAAACTTACAACATGTGGAAGTTTTCTTGAGAAATTGCTAATTTCTTTTCTGCTGTCAGTGCAGATGCAGCGTTTTTGAAAGTAAACATGACTGTGTCTTCTTCTCTAACATGAGAGAAAGTGAAGTCAGTAATTGGAGGGGAAATATGCTCACAGTTTTCACACCTCTTTCTCCCCCATCATTGCCTTACTAAACACTTGAATGTAAAAACAAACTGAGTCCTGACAGCTTGTGCAGCACAATCCACCTTAACTAAAGCAAAAGAACAGAATCAAGGCTCTGATTTTATCCAGGAATTTCTCATTGTCTCTTTTGTTGCAGTGTGTTCACACTTGCTATGCCATCATTCACACTCCACTTCACCATCCATCTGTCGCTGCTCTCTTAAGTGTCTACAGAATAAGTGGCTTTATTACATTACTTTTAGCTCACTTTCATCAAGTTAGGAAAAGGTGCCTGCCAAATTCTTTTGCCTGACCTTTTGCTGAATCGAATTTAAGTTGATGTTATTGAATTTATTCAGGCAGATTATGCTTATGAGGGACTGTGAGCAGAGAATGAGGCAGGCTCAGTGAACAGCTGCACAGAGTGTGGAAGGTCAAAGGTCAAGCTGTGGCAGCAGTAGGGAGAAAATGAGCTGTAACCCTGCTGGAGAAGCTGGATAGATGTCTTTTTTCACACTTTGTAAATGCAGACTAGCACTGGAGATACACAGAAGAGAAGAAAACACATGCTGATAGTCCATTACTGTTTGACTCCAGTGTTACTCTGAGGATGCCTGTGTGCTCAGCTGGCAGAGCTGAACAGAATAAAATGACTCTTCTGGATCAAACATGTGTCAGGTAGAGTTCTACAGGTGTGATGGGAGTGATGCTGCTCCAAAGTGTTTGATTCTGTGTAGGAGTGAAAACTGACAAACTGAGGTCATGCAAAGTGTGTGGGGGCATAAAACTGTACTGGCTCTAAACAAAACAGCATTTAGGGAAGACTAGGAATGAATTATGATCTAAATGAGAGTCTTTTTGGCCTGTACAAGATTGTCCTCAAAGAACATGCAGAGTTTACTGTGCTAACTGAGCAATTTGTTGTTGCTCTCTTCCCATGTCTCTTTGTCCAGTCAAGATAACCATTTTGAACTACCAGAGCCCCACTACTGGACTCTTCCCGGTCAAAACATGTTCCACCTGCAAGGAAGCTAAGATCCGGGACTCCCTGTACTGTGCTGCTGCTGCCTGGGCTCTGTCAATGGCATACCGGTCAGTACATGAATCAATACACACATGCATGCATGCACTCTCTAAGATAATCCATTTAGGGGGAATTTCATTAGTGCAGAATTGAAAGGGTGTTACATTTTAATAGGAATTGTTGATAACCTAATTCGTAATAGTCATTGCAGGCAGATGTGAACTTTGACTCACTGCCTGGTCTTAAGTTGAGTAAGGAAGCATACAAATCAATCAATCAATCAGTCCCTATTTATATAGCACTTTTTATACACAACATGTAGCACAAAGGAATAAAAGAAACAAAGAATACCCAAATCTACCCCGGCCCAACCCCTCATTCCCACCCCAAGATCTAATTGCAACAGAGACAGTATTATAAACTTAAAAAGGGCTTGATTTCGTGGTAACAATGCGCACTGAGGAAACGTCATTTGAAAACTCAAGATAAGGAAACACTGGAGGTTTAGGTTAAAATCTAAAAACAAAGAAACATAGAATGAAATTGAAGAAATAATAAATAAAATGAAATAAAAACAACAGTAAATGATACTAAATTAAAAGCACCAAAATAGCTCAATAAAAGACGATCCTGTGACTAAAACGACAAGAGAAAAACACTTTAAACAAAGTTAATGATATAATATACTAAATATAATAGACTAAAAAGGTATGTTTTCAGTTTGCTTTTAAAATCATTAAGATTAGGTGTAGTCCTCAGGTCTTCAGGTAAGCTGTTCCATAGACGGGGGCCATAGTAATAAAAAGATGCCTCACCATATGTTTTAGTTTTAACTTAAGGTAATGTTAACAGAGAACTTCCTGAAGACCTGAGGGCTCGACCTGGCTCATAAGGTAAAAGAAGATCAGATAGATAAGAAGGGCCAAAGCCATTAAGAACTTGAAAAACCAATAAAGCAACCTTAAAATCTATTCTAAAAGAGAGACGGACACAAAGACAGATATTTTAGTATTTAGCATTAATGTTAATCTCAGGTTCTGTGTGTACTAAGCAACTACTAAGTGTGTATTAAGCAACTTTTATTTGACTGTGCTTGGCAAAACTGTCTTGGCATTTCTTGGCATTGTCTTTTGACAATAAGCTTTATGTGACTCTGAATGATAACTCTTTGGTAGGGCTGTCAGTTTTTCAAAGAATCCTCAGGCAAGGGGTCAGCTGTAAAAAGAGGCAGTCATAAAGAGTTGAACTGCGCACTGTTGGGGCCTCTTCCACTGCCATGCAAACCATGCCATGGGTGGCAAACCATCAGGCAAGCTTGCACATTTGTCATTGTTGATGAGTAAGACAACAGCTCTGTAAAAAGGTTGCATACAGCCCTGTCCTTGTCTTTTATTTTACATCTGCAGAGTAAAACCCCAAATAATTCCACACTGTGTTTGTTTTGGTGTCAGAATAGCATAACTTTATTAGTTTACTGAAGTCAAGAGTGCATGGATTGGCCAGGTTATGATACATACAATAATACAATACAAGAACCTGATTTACCCACAAAAGGAATTAGTTTGTGTGCAGTCTCAAATCATCTACTATTTACAGAAGAATTACAAAGTCTGATGGTTGTGGGTACAAAAGATCTTCTGAATCTTTCTGTCTTGCACTGAAGTGAGAAGAGCTGTCCACTACAATTGGTCCTTTGGTCCATCAAGGTGTTGTGAAGTGGGTGATCCATGTTCTTTAGAATAGTCTCCACCTTCCTCAGTGTAGATCTCTCCACCACATCCTCCGTTTAGTCCAACTTGATTCCAACCACAGAGCCAGCGTGTTGAGTCTGTATCCAAGCAACAGTGTCATGGAGAACATCACACAGAACTTTAGCGGTTTCCTTGGGTGGGATGTACACAACTACTGTTTTGATATGACTAAATTCTCTTGGAAAATAATATGGCCGAAGAGCAACTGCCAACTATTCAATATCTGGACAAAACAACTTCTCCTTGACAGTCCCGGTTGTTTTGATTCAACAAGGTTTCAGTAAAACACAGAAGACTGCACTCACGGCACTCCCCCTCCAGCCTTCAATATCTCCAGCTCGTTGCTTTGTTGGACAGAGAGTTGACATTTCCCATGACAACCAATGGAAGAAAGGGGAACAACAGTTTTTCACATGCAGGACCTGATTCAAAAGAGAAAATAACCAAACTGGAACTCCTGAAAAGTGTTACTGTTGTTGTTGCATTCACTAAGGGTCACTGGATGTGATATAGCAATCGGAATTACACATGGAGCCCTTTCAGTGATTTAAAATAGACTTTTTATCACTTTTTATCAATTTATCATGTATTCATATTCTGGATGGTCAGGATAGTAATCAGCTTATATGTACAGTATGTAAAGCAACTGCAATAATGAACAGTCTCTGTATGGAGATGATTGACAGTGATGTGCCGACATTAGTATTACACTGCCATGAACTAATATTGAATCGCTAATTTATCTCGGGGCCACGTTTTTTTTTCCCTCAGATGTCACAAGAGGGCCTTCACACTGCACATCATGTTGACACTGATTGGACATTATGTACATGCACCCCTGCATTTTGCTTAAAGTGTAACAGTGTTATCCATAAAATGAAAGCTGAGTCCATATATTTTTTTTCATCAGAATGGAGCTTTCTTTTTCCTCACTGCACGGCATGGTGTATACATTTCTGAGTAAGGATCATAAAGTACATTTCATTGCATTTGTTTGCATCCTAAATTAAGGCACTGATAAGATGTATTGACATTTCAGTATGGACTTAAAAGTGGTTTGAAATGCAGAATAATGGAATTTTAAACATGCAGAAAGATGTAATCAATTATGATTGTCTATTAAAATTCTGTGAGGAATTACAAAAAAAAAAAAAAAGCATCTTTACTTGCAAAAGTTTGCAGGTGCTGTTCCAGCCTATGGCCTGTATATTTGTCCTTCATCTTGACTTTTTGTTATGTTCCTCTTGTTTCACGCTTGCTGCCCCTGATCTCTAATCGGCCTCTGTCAGTTGAAGGCTTTGCTTTTTAAACTCAGCGGCATTATTGGTTCAAGGAAAACACTTTAGAGTTTCTCTGAGAAACGTTTAAAGGCCCCAAACTCCTTTATCAGCCATCCCTGCACTTGATGCCTGCATTCCTCTGTGATTAGTTTCTAGGGAGAAGAGCACTTCCACAAAATGGGTCTGTAATAGGACAGAGAGAGAGGAGAAAAGACGGAGAGAGCAATGAGAATGGAGAAAAATTGCAGACAGAGAGAAAAAAGGGAGAATAAAGAAAGGGAGATACTAGAGGAGTAGAATCAGGTGGGCAGAGAGAGAGATGAAGCGTGAGGAAGAATAACCGACAGGAAGACAAAAGAAGAAGATAGAGAGGGAGAGAGTCAGAGTGGAGGACTAAGATTCAGGGGGAAGATGGAGGGATAAAGGAGGGTAAAAATAGAGAGCATTGCAGGGATGTGACCAGCGGCAGATCCCTGTCATCAGTCATGGCTGCCTCCTATTAGAATTGTCACCAGGATTTAATTAAGATAATTCTCATCTGACAGGCTTGGGTACTGCCATTACTTACCTCATACACCCTCCTGCCCCTGCTTCTGCTGCTACTCTGAGTGAGAGAGAGGGTGTGCATGAAAGAAAGTCAATGATAGCACTTTGATTTGCCACTCAGTCCTCTTTCGAGTGGCCCTGATAAGTTTTACTCACCACTTCACACAGTGAGACTTTTTTCTTTTCTTTGTTTGGGAGCTGCTTATTGTCAATGTCCTAATCGTTTACACAGCTGAAAGAAACCCCATGTTCAGCTAACGTCAAACTCTAAAGCTTCAGACCAACCTGGTTAGTAGTTTGTTTGTTTGTTTGTTTGTTTGTTTGTTTGTCGCCATCTTTGGTAGCAGCCATTACTGCAGTGGAATCTCAGTGTATGCTGCTGGCCAGAGACTGTGACAGCAGTTTGGGATAAAGAACGTACCTTAATCAGAGAATGTTAGCATCATCAAGAGTTATTATTGTAGACAGTGGTTACAGCAACAGCATGATTACATGCAGAGGAAGGGTGGAAAAGAGTGACCACATGCACATACGCACACACTCACCTCTCCCTCACCCGACGCCTTCGACGCTCCACCCCTCAGTGTGGTGGGCGGTACCCTGACTGGCGGCGCTCACCATGGGCAGCGGCTGCGGGCTTCCCACCATCACTGATGACCCATTCCACTACCCCCCTCTCCCTCAACAACCATAGCATGTCTCTGAATCTCTGTGTATGTGGTGTCAGTAATGTGCTGATGTTGCTGAGGGTTTTTGTGTCACTACACTCGTATTAATGAGAGCAGTCTCTTTTTTTTACCTCCTCCTCTCTCTCCCTCTTGTGTATTCTTTCCCCACCTGTAAATGCAATTTCGTTGTGCACAAGTGCAATGGCAATAAAGTATCTCCATCTCCACGCCTGACACAGATTGGAGACAAAATGATATCTAATGTGACATTAGTTTACCACCCCAGCTCCTTCAACAACATTCATCTCTCCTCTGTTCATCTCCCTCTTTCTCCATTTCCCTCTATCAGTCTCTCCTCTGTCCATCTCTCTTTTTCTCCATCTCCTTTTCCCTTCTCTCTCCTCTCTAAATCCAGCTCAGTCTCAGCAGATGACTGTCTATTCAGTCTGGTTCTGCTCGAGGTTTCTGCCTGTTAAAGGAAGTTCTTCCTCTCCTCAGTAATTTGATAAATGCTGTTAAGTGTTTCACTCATGTGGTTGAAGATGGGATGGGAGTGGGTCTGATCTTACAGGATGTTACTCAGTCTTGTCGTGTCTTTACATGGGGTTTTGTGCCAGCATGTGCCAGCATGTGCCACCCTCAGCAAAGGGTGGCACATGCTACATGCTACAAGATATCCAAGCCCGATTCCCCCTTCCAACAAAAGTCACATACCCAGTTATCAGCTGGTTATAAAGGTTTTCTTTACAGATTAGTCTGACTACAGACTCCAAACTAATGATTTAATAATTAATAAGATTTAGTACAAAAGGTTTTATAAAATTTATGATTAAGACTCAACAAAGAGTAACTCAAGCCAGTAAGGTTGCTTAATTCCTTATAACAGCTTAGATCCAGGTCGAGGTCTGACTTCAACGGCACATGTGCTTACGTAGGTCCACTGTGTCTGCAGCCAGGTCCTTGGTTTCTTGTGTGTTTGTAACGACCAAGCATGTGACCGCCTTTAGTAAATCAGCACTATTTATCTTTCGAGAAAGGATGTAGTCACTTTCTGCAAAAGCCTATTACTGTTTGTCTGTTGCCTGTCACACTTCTCATGAAAAGTTGTTCCCTTTAAAAGTGACAACTCAGTCATTTTTTTGTGCAATACATTTTTTAGGTGCTTGCCTGGATTTGATTTTTTTTTTTTTTTTTTTTGCTTATCTGCTTTTTGATATTTGGGTTTTAAAGATCACTGTTTTCGTTATTATTCCCCAGAGGAAATTTGTTTTCCAGCCATTAGTAACACACAATCATCACACTAACAAAAGAAGGGAAAATAAAGAAAAATCAGACACAGAATAGCCAACTTTGTTGATTATAGAAGGCAATCGCAACTTCAAAAACATACATAAATGTCATATTGAGCCGTTATAAGAGCTAGCGTCAGTTGGGACAAGATTTTTTTAGTCTGTTTGTCCTACAGTACCTGCAAGAAGATGTATGCAGACAAAATGAAGCAACAAGAGCTCTTTAAACTGCAGGTGATTTGAATCATTTAAGAGTCATTTATAGCCTTTTTGAGAGTTCTGCCTTTTAAACACCTCGCTCAGATCAGGTGCAGCACAATCCACCTCCTCCTAGAGCCCAACTATAGCAAACCAACTGACCTCAATAACTGTCTTCAAGACATAAAATCATCGAGTAATATTATTAGCATCACAGCATTTGACAGACAGTATTTCTCCTCACCTTGGCTCATTGGCCCCCTCCATAAATCATGCTAAAAAACCTTGGAGTCATAGTCCAGTCAGGATAAGGGTGTGACAAGCAAATGAATCAAGTAGTAAAAGTAGAATTCATGCAGCTGCAGATCACTTCTAATAATTGTGACCTGGAAAAAGTCTTTCATGCAGTTATATCATCCCATCTCAGTTATTGCAACACTTGATTCTTTGGTACCCAGTCCTGTTTATTGCATCCTCCAATAATGCAGACATTCTGGCAAGGTCAATAATAATAATAATAATAATAATGCATCAGATTTCATATAGCGCTTTATCAGAGACCCTCAAAGCGCTTTACATTGGATACATCATTCATTCGCTCACACAGTCACACCTTGGTGGTGGTAAACTTCCTTAGTAGTCACAGCTGCCCTGTGGCAGACTGACAGAAACGTGGCTGCCATTTTGCGCCTACGGCCTCTCCGACCACCACCACACAGCATTCACAATCATACATCAGTGGAGGACACACACTGGGAGCAAGGTGGGTTAAGTGTCTTGCCCAAGGACACAACGGACAGACTTGGGATAGGGGGTAATCGAAGCGCCAACCTTCCAGTTATTGGACGACCGCTCTACCTCTTGAGCTACTGCCGCTCAAAAAGAGGGACTACATTACTCTGACTCTTTGCTCACTAAATGAGCTCCCCCCTTCTTTTTCCACAGAGCCCCTGTCCCCATATCAGACTGTCAGAGATCATCTGACTACAACTTTGTCTTTCCAGAGATGGAGGACTTAGTGTCATGGGTACAGGCCCTATGGGTATTACACTCACTATTAAAAACCAACAGACTATCCCTTTAAAAGGATGAGCATCCCCAGTTTCAAGTAGCAAGTTGCTTTTGTGATGGTGTCTGGTAGTTGTCTTAGTGCTTGTATTCCACTGATTGATTGTAATTAAATTTGAAGAGCTGAGTATGTTGCTGTAACCCATGGTCACTGTTGGATCACCTCATGCATATTACAATGCTGCGTACTTGTAGCTCAGTAATGAATGCTCAATGAAGGACGTTGGGAGATGAAAGCTGCCTGCTGTATCCTCTGCCTACGATCAGGTTTGATGTACAGGGTTTCACCTAAACAAGTTTCACCTTTCTTCTGTTGAGACTCAAAGTCATAATTAGCTTGACCTTTGTCATGTAAGTCTGAGACCTGCCTGCCAGACCTTAAAGAATGTGCTGACTCCGATTTAGATCACTGCAGTTGTAACTGATTGGCCTCAGGGTGGTGACTCACTGGGGATATGCTCTTAAAAATTATATAGAAAAAACGAACAAGAAATCAATGTTGTTTAAAAAAAAAAAAGAAAAACAGCATCAGTAATGAGATGCAAGCAAGCGTGGCTTTGGAAAATTAAAGTGCACAAACATACGGAAGAGTGATAGTACTATGTTCAGTATATGGGATGATAACTGAACAAACACGGTTATTCTACTAGAGTTAAAACAGCACACATTGGTGCACACACAAACAGTCTATAAAGTTGACTGACAGCTGATGGTGTGGTCTAGTGGTAATGATGACGACGGGGGCTCAGAGTTGCATGAAGAGAAGAATTTACTTTTATTCAGCTTTATTCCTCGACATATTAAATTGAAAGACAAACTAGACATCCACACCAAAAATAGATGCTGTTAATCTGCTCTAAAATCTGAAAAATTGAGAAATGATTGCCGAAAATTCTTTATAAGACACAATATGGCTGGACTATAACCAAAGTTGTTGAGCTCATGTATTTTTTTTTGTCCTTTTTGTCTTAATTCTGTGCAGACGCATTGATGACGATATGGGCCGAACTCATGAACTGGAACACTCTGCCATCAAGTGCATGAGAGGGATCCTCTACTGCTACATGAGGCAGGCTGACAAGGTGAGGGTTTTGCTCCTGCTGTCACATTGCAGGTTCCTTTTAAAGGCATCCTGCAGTCACGCGCAGTATTACGGATCAAACATGCTCCAGAGCTGCTTTTCATCAAAGCCTGTCTGAGCTGCTGCTTTGGACTCATCCTGTTCCTCTCATAATGTTCATACATACACAAACAAATCACAACAGGAGTCAGCTGCTTTTGTCCTAAGGGTGTAATATCCAACAATCTGTTAATTGCCAGAGACTTGAGCTCCAAAGGGGGGGGGGGGGGGGGGTTCACGCCTTGGCTACAGGAAAGCAGTATATGCATGAGTATGAAAAGGCTGCAGAAAAAAATAGCAAATCATACTCTTTAACACACCTTTAGCAGAAACAGTTAAATGTTTTTTTTCTAAATCCTCTGGGAGCAGGATCTTTGAATAGAGTAGCAGCCGGTCATGTCACTGTGTTCATGCATGTGTACAGCGTCGTGCCTTTGAAAGTCATTGTGTTTTATCTAGCATTGACCTTGACAACCTAATTTAGGGGAGAGCCTTCCTGTGTCTTAATTACAAAGCTTGGTTTACACACTTAATTACACAGAGCAGTGTTCGTCGCGGCCCCGTCTCCAACACTTACGAGGAACATGGATTTTTTAATGAAGACGTGTCACAGGCCACAGCCGGGCAAATATCACTGAACAGCAGCTGGGTCCTATTCATAGACTGAAGAAAAGAAGTAGACAAAGCAGCTATGACAGGCATGTCCAAACTGTTCCACGAAGGGCCGTGTGGCTGCAGGTTTTTCTTCCAACCAAGCAGCAGCACACCAGACTTGATTCATTTCATCGGCTGATCTCAGTCTGCAGACAGCTGATTGGTCAGACTGCGTGTTCTTGATTGGTTGGAAGAAAAACCTGCAGCCACACAGCCCTTTGGACATGCCTGAGCTATGACGTTAGCATAAACAGTTAATAGATAGACATAGTATTGCCAAAGGTGTTTGAAGATGACACTCACCATCTCGAAATGCCGACCAACTAGCCATACCCTTGATTTCACCTTATTATGCCTTCATACAACCCAAACAGATGAGTTATAAAAACAAAGATTTCATAAATAATAATGTCATAAATTGTAGAGAACATGTTTCAATGTTATGAGAAAAATTAGCATTTGAATTTGTACTCTGATGAGGTTTAATGGGCCTCAAGCAGACAGTCAAGAATCTGCATTTTTTTTCGCTTTTTCATTGGCTTTGTGTTTCAGACCAGAGAAGAACTCTGGGAAATTGGCCACTGGCTTGTGGTCCACTGTGTTAAAGCCCTGATAGGTATTCTAGGAGAACACCAAACGTGGGTCTGTGTGTACAACTTTGTATTTTTGCTGTCTTGGCCAGGTCTCCCTGAAAAAGAGACTTTAGTCTCCGTGGGACTAACCTGGTTAAATAAGGGTTAAATGAAAATATGTACTCAATGGTTTGCCAGTAATACACATGGGTTGTTTGTTTTTTTTTAAAAAACACAGATTATTCATTCTTCTGTGTAAGTTGCTAAATGTGTGCTGTACAAATATTTCAAAGATGAAGTAAAATGCATTGATTCATGATGGAGACATTGAACTAATTTGGAGGCGTTAAATATTTCTTTATAAACAATTGATTAAAAAACTGAAGTGCTTTCGTGTGAAATCTGTTGTTAGCTCAGTGAGTAACCCCCAGAAAATCCATACCCCACCAGACTCTGTAGAGTCTGTGTGTGAGAAAGATTGTAGCCCTGTATGACTTGTGATTTTAGATAAACAGCCTTCTGCTTCACATTTCTGTTTTTTAAAGCTCTTTTTCAATTTTTGTAAGAAATAAAACATGAAAACACGACAAGATGCACAACACCACATGGTAGACTAAACGAGCACTTGAGCAGCCTAATATATGTCAATCTATCGATAAAGGCAGATACAAACCATTAATATATTTGTGAAGTAACACAGACTTGGTAGGATGTGAACTTTAAATATACCTGCTGACATCTTCTTAGCTTCCTGCTTTCTCAACGGTGATTAGCTCTGACTTTAGAGGGCTGTACACTGGCTCTTATACTCATCAGGAGCAGGTTTTGAACATCAAATGTATCTCTTGGTGAGTGGTTAAATGGGATGCAGGACTTCTGTGTTGGTGGTAGATGTAAATTAAATGCACTTAGAGGCAGGCTTGTACTGTTTACTGAGTAAAATAGTGGGCAATGAAGTGTTGCTCTAATTTGAAGCACATATTGGTGCAATGCAGCACTTGAAACAATGGGAAAGATGTGTGTCCTCTCAAAAAATCCCAGAGTAGAGCCACTTGACTCTGTGGCTCTGCTGGAGCAACAACCAGGGGGCCTCTACACACAAGTAGGTTTTATGAAAATGCGAACAGCAGTGTCTATTGTTGGCTGCTGATGTAGGAAGGTTTTTCACTCATCTTCACTCACAAGCATGCTTACATCAGCCGCTGAGGGATAGCAGGAAGTGGAGCAGCTTGTGTAAAAGTAGGACAGAGGGTCTCCAGTATGACCTGGCAAGGACAGAAAAAGGTCTGCAGAGGTAGAGAGCCTGAGGAAAGAAGGGATTTTAAAAAAGAAAGTTTGAGAAAAGAAATAAAAACATGGTGATTAAGAAAAGAGAGGAAAAATAATAGAGGGAAAGAAGTAGAGTAAGAAGCAAGTAGGAGTGGGAGGTAGAGAGCGCAAAAACGAAGGTGGGAAGTGGAGCCTGATGATTGAGAGAGCAATGAGAGATGTGGAGCGATGAGGAACAAACAAGGGAAAAATGGGACAAAGGGGCCAATTATTTATAACTCAGCGTGATGGGACAGGAGGCCCGGCTATAATTTGGGGTGTAGCTGAGTTAGTGCTGCACAAACAGACACACAAACAGACACATAGAAAAATGATAACAGAGCAGAACAGAGACATTATCTCTGCTTTATAACATCAGGAGTTTAAAGATTGACCTGTTTGAATCAGTCATTGAACTCTGGTCAAGAAAATGTCAGTGTCTTGCCTTCTAACATAGTCATTTTTGCCTGATGAACAGTATGTGTTACTAAGCAAAAGTGTCCTGTGTTGTCATGATGAAGCCAGTGCATTGCACTCTTGGACCATGCCTTGCTTAATGTCAGGGATAATGCATCGTGAGTGGGTAGTTATGTGAAGTGGATTTGCAAGAGGAAGTTGAGGGGTCAGGTTTCACCCCACCTTTCAGAGAAGCTAGAAAACACACCCAGAGATAACGCCTCCATGTGTGTATCTGATGTTATGAAACTTTGGTGAGGTTGTGTCTGGACATCCAACATTGTAATAGTTATCAAGACATCATCAAATCAAAGTGACAACTCTGGAGCAGTACAGTCTACTATACATCATCACAACCAAGAAGGTAGATTTTTGTTTGTTGACTCGAGACAAAAACTCACTTTCAGACTTGTTCAAGGCTGTAATGTTGTTTTAAGATCCAGGAGGATACTGGTGTTTCCTGTTCCTCCCACACCTCCTCTCACCTGCATGTCATCCCTCCTGTCTCCTCTCTGTGTCTTTGTCTACCAGGTGGAAGAGTTCAAACAAGACCCCAGCCCCTCCAAGTGTCTGCACTCAGTGTTCAATGTGGACACTGGTGACGAGGTTCACTCCTACAACGACTACCACCACCTGCAGGTTAGCAGAACACTGACAGATATAAAGATATAAAGGAAATGAGCCATTAATTAGGAGAATAACAGGAAAATGAAACCTTTCATAACCACAAAGATTGTACGTGTACGTCTTTGGGTTTGGATCTGAGTGTTATCAGGAGTTCAGATGGAGTGAACATACTTACAAAGGTTAAAGACCTAGTTATAAAGTTTAACCCCTCTGTTACATTTTATGTGGTGCTGAAAACTGAAAAATAAATTCCGCCTGCTGTAGTTAGTTAAGAAACTCAATGATATCAACTTTCCCAAAGATAAATAAACAATAAAATGAGCAATTATGTGAGCAAATTATACACTAAATAACACATTAGACTTGCATCTTTGTTTGGAGTTCAAATACCTCTAAAATGTGTCCTTTGTTTTTCCCCTCAGCTTGGCATGTAGGGACGGCTTTAACAAATTGACTTGACCTATTTGACCCAGAGGTGGATGTGCATCAAACCAGCACTAAAACAACTTATTCTCCTGTCAATGATATTGACAAAGGTCAACTTGATGTGTGACATTTGAGTGAAGACTACATTACCAGTAATGGGTGGCCAATGCATCAAGTGAGCAAGATAGAAAATCAAAATGGGAAAAAGTGGAAGGAAAAAAACCTTACAAGGCCAAAAGTCATCCCTGAAATAAGTAAAACATTATTTTATGTATTATCTTGATTCTTTTAAATCAAGAAAATTCCACTGAGTGAGACTGACAAAACATACCAAAAAAAAAAACATTAAAAAATAATGTTACAGAGCTCACTGTTTAAAATCAATGTATCCAGACTGAAAACAAGATAAACGGTTTAGGAAAGATTAAAGACAGCTGCATCATTCAGTTTCCAAAACTACTGCAGGTGTCTTGGAGGTGGTGTGCGGAGGTTTTGGCTGGTTATAAAACTGGCTGAAATAAATACAGATCTTTGACTGATAAAGGAAAGGAAACCATCAGGGAACAAACTGAATCCTGACAAAGCATCTTTTTCAAATTTATGTGTTTAACACGTGGAGAGATGGCAGTGGGAAAAATTCTTCACAAAGGACATCCTGACTGACCAAGCCCTTCTTGGGTTTATGGTTTTCACACTAACTTTTTTGTTCATGACAATTATGGCGCCCCCTGTGGAGAAAGTGACTTATCAGGGCCCCATAGACCACCTGGTCTGACATATAATGCCCCCCCCCCCCCCCTGGATATTGTTGCAGAAAAAATGATTGTTGATTTCTCTCAGTTTCATTGGAAGCTCAAAATAAAGATGCAATAAAGCTTAAACAACAGAATTTCTCTGAGCTGACAACTTCTCACTAAAAATAAATATTTTGCCAGGCTCATGCTCCCTTAAATAATGATGGATCATCTTAATCAGCACCATTGTTAAACACTTACTGAATATTTATTTCCTGTCTTTGATTTCTTGTCCATCTACTTTGTTATGAAATGAGTTGTTATTGATGATCCATCCTTTTGCCTAAAGCCTATTAGCTGATATAAAGCTCTCATCTGGCTCTGAACACCATGCGACAAATCAAACAACTCTATGGACAAATGACCACGTATCCCACAGTGTATTATGGCAGTCATGTTGAAATAAAATCTATTCCACTCTCCCTTCTCTCTGTTTCTCTCTGTGTGCAGATCGATGCCGTTTCTCTGTTCCTGCTGTACCTGGTGGAGATGATCTGCTCGGGTTTGCAGATCATTTACAACACTGATGAGGTAAACAACACTCTGAAACCACTGCCAAAGAGATCGATCTGAGACAATAGGGATTTAAGTCTTTTCCTGTCTATTGCTCTGATATTTTTTGGCTAATCCACAATCAGCAATCAGTATTCAGTCAAAGTCCCAAGAGGTTTAAAATAACTTCTTTATCTGCAGTGAATGATGATACATTTTCTCAAGGTTCTTCTTCTGCTCTACATCATGCACACTGCACTAGTGTTTCATTCAAGGCATTTCAGAGAGAAATCCTGTCAAAACTGTATTACTTAGGGATGTTATCATTACCATTATCATCATCTTCATCATCATATTGATAAAATCTGGCCAATTCTCAAAAAAGATGTTGGCTGAGCTGTAGGTTTTTCCTCCCTTTCATGACACAGGTTTTTGGCATCTTTTGCACACAGGCGATGATGAGTCAGTGGGCTCGTCATCATAGCCAGCTCTGAAGGCAAAATAGTCCTAAAAAAGACTCTGGCAGCTATTTCTGTTCATCAGCACAGGGTGTGGAGTTATTCTTCAGAAAGATGACTTCTTGTTGTAGGTAGTGGGCATGTTGAGGTAGAGGCATTGCTTTTCTTCCTCTGAGCATCAGCTCACTCTTTATAATTGTGTAGAATGGACAAGGACAGATGCTTTTCTTGCTGATACTGACACCTTAAGGAGATGCAGGTAATTCTATATACTGCCAGTCTGTAAAATGCAGCTTTTTCAGTCACTTAACTCACAGCCACACTAAAACATCCAAACAATGCCAGGTGCTGAATGTCAGGAAATTGTAGTAGTGTTAAAAAGCTTTTAAAAAATTACAGAAATTTCAGTACACTGTGCAGCACCACAGACAATAGGACATAATGCTGTCTTAAAATACTGAAAATCTGGTTACTCTTCATCCCCAGTAAACAAAAAAATGTTGTAGAGGAAAAAAGGCTCTGAAGTCAGTCATCTGCTCCTTGAATCTCCTGCACAGCCCCTCATTCAGACACAAACTCAGGATAGAGGGGCAATAGCTCATTTTTATAGTTTGGCTCACATTTATATTTTTCCTGAGCCGCTCAATTGACTTTCACAGGGAAACGTTTAGATGATTTCATTGTAGAGGCTTAAATGGCGTCCTGGGAATCGAACAGGTAACATCTTATTTGGCGGTGCACCAGTGAAGACTATTACTGAAGCTGTGCTTTAAGTGATTTTCTGTGAGTCTGCTGTATCTGTCCAGTGTTTTTTTTTTTTTGTTTTCTCTTTTTCATGTCGGGCTGGTAGTAAAACAGGAAGACGCCTGGATGTTGAGTTTACACACTGTGCTGTTTATTGTGTGGCCCTGAGGAGCAGTTGGAACTTCATTAATTCTGTTAGTTTTATAGTGAGCTCATTCACAGCTTTACTTAATGCCACAGAGTGGGGAAATGTGTGCCGGCGGTGAGGGAATCCATTTGTTTACTAGATCGGGCTTATCTTAAGAAAGTGAGGACATGGAGAACCATTTTGCCACCAACCAATTAGAGTGTGCACTTTGTTTACAGAGAACTCTCCCTAATTACCTTTCATTTTTCCATTTCTCAATGCTGATGGCAAACAAATTGACAATATAACTTTTTTATGAGGGCAGTCCTGTTTGTCCAGCAGCTTTAATTTGCATGTTTAAACACTGCTTATTAGGTTGTCTAATTCAAGCTGAAGTAGTCTGAAGCCCCTATTGCTCTTCTGTTAACAAACATCAGATCTGGGGTGCAGCAGGACTTGTGATATCCTCTCTGAACACTGTCTAAATACTATTTCATTCGGCTAATCACATAATTAGGGTATCATTCAATAGACTGTTGCTAGCTGTCACTGCTTGTGAAGTCTTTTGGTGTTTACGTGACTGGACTAGAAGCTGCATTGCAGCATTTTTTCTGGTGCTGGTATAGGAAGGCTGAGGCGTGTCCACTGAGAAGATACACTATCGACCTCCTTCCAGATGTCATTTTCAGTTTCATGCAGCATGAAATGGAGTGTCTTATTAGCTGTTGTCTGTGTTGTTTTTTCGCATTAACACTGCTATGTGAAAAAGCAACAGCACATGCATGTAGAACAAATCTCAAAAATGTACCTGTGTGCTTCAACAAAAAGATATCAACTTACAGGGCCGGTTGTGTCTCGTCATGAAGACAGAGAGGCTTGTTTGGCCGCTGGGCAGTAACATTCATTAAGATACCATTAAGATACTAAAAAGTCCCTCTCGTTAATCACTGCGCTCATAAAAAGCCCAATAAGAGAGAAAGAAAGAGAGAGCCAGCGCACACCTTCCTCTCCTCCTCAGCCTCATCTGTGTCACTCCCTCTCTTTCTGCCCTTCTTCAACATTCTGGCCTATTAAAGTCCGACAGAGGTTGAATCTGCTTCTCTCCATCTTTCTCTCCTCCACTCTCTCTCTCTCTCTCTCTCTCTCTCTCTCTCTCTCTCTTTTTTCTCTCTCCCACTTTGCCATTTTAGATTAAATCTCCCATCAGTCACGCGCGCGCACACACACACGCACTTGCTACTTTTGGGCCTTTTTAATGATTCAAGGCCTTAAAGGCATCACACCTTTTATGCCTCTCTCCTTTTTTTTTATAGGCTGCCTATTGATTTTGACATCTCTCTCTCTCTCTGAGAAACAGTGTCCCTCCTCTCTCTGTCAGTGTGCGCCAAATGAAGAACAAGTAGGAAAAACAGTCTCACTGTGTAAACCTCAAACTATCATGGCCACCTTATTGTTTGGCTGTGAACTCAAGGACACTGGAGATGAGTTTTTAAAGTCAGTAAGGAAAGGGCACCCTGTTCATTTTTCAAAACCAGCTCTGAATGGATACTGTGATATGTATCTGTTCAGTTTTTGTCATGCACACTTAAACAGCTCCAAACAGTGCAACACTTAAGAACCTTATTCCATGTTGTCTGCACCTTCAGGGTGATTCTGTCCTTGTGCATTGATGAGGTATCAGCTCTCTCATCCACTTTCATAACCTTTTTAATGAGGAGAGTTTCAGACCTCACACAAGATCAATATGAAAAGGTCACAAATGATTGTGTGCAAGTGTGACTGCAGCTTAGATTATGTACACTCTGTGTTTGTGTGTCTCACATCATGTTTACTTCCTGCAGACTGCCTGTGTGTATATGTGCATGCATCTGCGTGCGTGTGTGTGTGTGCATATTCAATCCCAATGTCCCCTGCCTTCCCGCGTTTGATGTGTGTGTTACTGTGTGTGTTTTTGTGCAGGTTTCCTTCATCCAGAACCTGGTTTTCTGCGTGGAGAGAGCCTACAGGGTGCCTGACTACGGCATGTGGGAGAGAGGCAGCAAATACAACAACGGCAGCACTGAGCTGCATTCCAGGTCAGTCAGCAGCTCAGCAACACATAAATAATGTGCTAAAAGAGAGTGCACACAGTGGAGCTCATATGTTGGTATTTAAATCTACAAAGTCATTGTAGAGGTGGAATAACAGCACTCATAACATGCTATCTTCCTTGTTTGTCTGCAGCAGCTATATCAGCTTATTTAAATACAATATTTACAGTGCTACGGGCAAAGCATAACAGATTAATTAAAGTTGTATTTAACCTATAATCTCGTCAAATTCAGACATAAAAAATGCTTCTATATTTCTCAGAAGTACTGTATGAGCGCCCCCATGAGTCTTATTTATCACCTCAAATAGTTGGGTGTACGTTTAAAAAGTCAATTATTATTGAAGTACTTCAAACCACAGCTTTTATTGTTGAACTGTACACCTAGAGGATTTATTCTCCACAGAGCTGCTTTTAATTACCTGGCAAGTATTAATAGGGTTGTTCATGGGTATATATTTTATCTAACAAGGATGGGCAGAATCATCCGCTCATAGGAGAAAATCTATGGTGACTAGTTAGCTATCATAGTGGCCTACCTTGTGTGTTCAGGACTGTCTGAGGTTAAACAGGTTCACTTTAAGGATGTCTTTAGCAGCAACATATGGTGCATTCCATTTACCTTGGAAGTCAGAGCTGGGAATGACGTCACACCTGAGTCATCAGCATTTCAGATACAAAGTCAGAAAAAAGTAGCCAACAGCCATAAACACCGGCTGAAACTGCCAGGCTATGGTTTGCCGTTGTCAGCACAGCCTGTTTTGGAGCTTGCATATACACATGAAAAATGTAAATTACACTATGACAGCATTTCCATATCTATACATCTAACAATACTATTGTTTACAGCTGACTTATTGTGACAAAAAATAGTAAAAAGTGTTAATAAAAAGATTAATACAGGAGCTTCTACTTGCTGTTTACAACTGGTGCCACCATCTTTAAATGTCAACCTAGGGGTTGTGTGGATCATCTGACTTTCTGAGTTGGAAATCTGACCTCTGGGTTCGTTCTAGTTGAAAGCTCCGACTGTGGCATGTGGCGTGTGGTGTATCTTGTGGACCCAGAAGCAGACACGGAGACAGATAGTAAATTAAAGATGTAATTTTAATGTCCAACTCAAGGGAAAAGGCACAAGAGAAAGTCCGGTTGGCTGGCTGGCTGTTGTGTGGGCTGGAGACACTGTAGAGAAAACAGAGGAGATGAAAGTGAGAAGGCATACAAGGAATCACAGGGAGCAAAAATTACTAGCACTTAGCCGAGGAGAAGGCCGGGAGAAGCGTTTGTACCACTGAGGAGTGAAGACAATACTCAGGCGCTGAGACTGAGGGCTGCTGGCTTCTCAAAGGGCCTTGATTGTAGATGCAGTGCAGGTTTGGAGTCTCACTCAGCCTCAGCGACCAGAGGAAGGGAAAGTGCACTGAAACAACAGTCAAGCCAGACCAGGAACACAAGGAAAATGGGAAGTTAAACCAAAATTAAACAGGAAGAAGAGGCGTCTCACCACACCGACTCGGAGCTCAAAAATCCCGAATTCTGAGTACAACTGAGTGCACCAATAAGCACAGTCATGGAACATTCAATTCAGAAACTGAGGTCAGCAATAAAGTCAATAGATTATAAAATAATGCACAACATGAATGACGGCTTCCTTCTTGACTTGCAAGGTAATTTTTGGTAAATTTCTGTTTAATTTTAATGTGAAATTTCAAGATTGCATTTTATAAATTTCTGAAATATAAATTGCATTTATATATCAGCCCTCACTTACTTTACACTGTCATTTTTCACACAAAGTTGTGGAAGCCTATAAGGACACTTGCAGCCTGTACCTTCGACAGGCAAAGAGAATTTGGGCCAGCTCATGACCACAGCTTTAAAAAACAATATGGTTGATAAAGAGAGAGCGAGAGGTTTCAACACCAGAAAGAAGTAAGAAAGAAAAACTGCCAGCAAAAAAAAAATAAAAAATATATCACAGATCTGATCATCTGACCTTTTCTTCTGTATGTAAGCACAGTCTGTAAGTTTTAAAGCACGTGAAATTCACTCCTACATCTAACCTCAATAAAGAAAAAAAAGTGTGCATCTAGCCTGTTTTGAATGGTATCGTTATAAATTAATGGTTTGAATTACTATATGCTCCAGAGATTAAGATTTTGGACCACTTGTCAAAACACCAGCACTGTTGCCCCAAACTGATTTATCATCCAAGGTCAAAGTGGCCTGTTTCTCTTTCCTCAGAGTCTTGATAAAGATCCTCAATTTCTCCTTTTTTCTTATCTCTGCAAACCTTGTCTTTTTTTTCCCTCCTCCAACAAACTAAGGCTATTGGCAGCAGCTTGCTGAGATGTCCTCAAGAAAAGATAACAGATTAGATGTCGGGATGCAGCACTGTGTCTTAAGCTTTTTGTGTTTCCTTTCCCCGAGGTCATGCTTAGGATTGCTACAATTAGTAAACTAGCTTATACATGTAGTTGTGTAATACCATTTAACATGCTGTATGCAAACAATGCACTACAGCAGAGACAGATTCATAATGATGAACAAGATCTGTCTAAATGATCAAATTGAACAGTCATCTGTAGTCATCGATTGCCAGCGGGCACAGAGAAAAGGCTTTTTGAAAATGAACAGGAGAGGATGTGTTTTTTGGCAGAGTATTCATCCGTCCATTTCAAATTAAATGAGTCATTTTATCTGCTTCTGCCTCATGTTTATGATCACACTCAGTAAAATGAGTAGGCTGGAGCTGCGCTATTTAGGATAGTGTATCTAATCTTTTATGCATAAGGATTTTTATTAATATTTCAACTGTTTGTGAGTAAATGTGATTTTATTTGAATTATAACAAACAGGACTGTGCTTACAAAATACTGAACATGTCAACATCAAAACATGGACAACAGTGCAAATTGAGCACATCAATATGAAAGCTTACTGTGATGTCTGCAGGGATTAAAGTTCCCTGGAGCCACTCTAGATTTCTGTCAATTTCATATTCACTAGTTATGTCATATAATATAAATATAGTCGAGGGGAAAAAACAGGAGAAAGATGGTTGGTGAAATGAATTATGTGCATTTTATTATTATCATTTTTTTGCTTAATTGCTTTGCGTAATTAATGGTATCACAACACTCCTCTCATCAGCTGTGCCTTGACTGGTTGAGACCAATAGTAAGTGAGGTATTATTATTATTGTTCTTAGATATTTTATATCCAAAAGCTGTTTACTTTTTTTACTGTGTTTTATTCATTAGCAGTATTTCACCAAATATACATGTTTTTATTGTGTCAGTCGGATGTATATTAAATCGATGAATCATTGTGTACGGGTTTCTTTTTAACGTCATCCCGTCATGTCTGGGCATTACAGCAATGACTCAAATTAACTCTGGCTACAGAGATATACATGAGAAAGATCATCAAGTTAGAGTTATGTATAAGTCAGTATTTTTACCTGCAGCCTGATCTAATACACACAGAGAGCACTTTTACTATGGGCTGAGATTAGTGCCACTAGAAACTGAAATTGAACAATCATATTGAATTTTAAAAGCAGGATTTGAAATTGAAATTCATGTCAAATTCACATCAATAGAAGCTGTGTAAATCTCTGCTAGATTACTCCTCATGGACGAAAATGACATCATGGCTGTGCCGTGCAAGACTTGAATTGTAAGACTGAATCTGAATTTTGCAAACTGAAATTGAGTTTTTTTTTTTTTTTTTAATTGAAGAAAAAAGAGTTGAATTTTCATGTAGGTTAAATACGGTTTCACAGCAGATACATGAATGTATGTCTTTGAAGCTCTGACCTGGCTTCATTCCCATCAGCAGTAAAACCTTTCTATGGCTGCCCAAATTGAGATTGCGGGCTGTGAAGAGAGCTGAGGTTGGTGTAAATTCTCAGTTTTCAAGAACTGTTGTCAAGGAGCTCTGCCACCTCAGAAGCTAGTGAACTGGATCCAAAGATCCCTGTTTATATGGCAGAGTTTAGGTACCTGGAAAATTGCATCCAATGTTTTTTTTTTTTTTTTAATATAAATATTTGTACTAGTCCTGCACTAAAATCTAGGTTTGTGAACTGGTTTCATTCTCCTTTTAACATTGGGTATCCTTGAAAAATTCAGCTGTTGGAGTCTGCCTCAAGCACCCATAGGCAATATTGGAAATATCAACTAAATTCTGTTGCACTTTCCTTCAGTTTCACTTAATGCATTCAGCTGCCCTGCAAATTACCCTTCACACATTTTACTGTAAGAGCAAGTGAATATTGATGAGCACTCTACAGTATGAACTGATGAGTTTCCAATAACATTTTCATTATATCACGCTGTATCTCGAGCTGATATCTGTAAGTGTTGCGTCATGATGCTGCTTAGCTTTTCTATCTAGCATCACTTTCTCAACTTCCTGTTTTCTCACTAAGGATTGAATCTTCTCTGTCTCTGCATGAAGTGCAGACAGCCTGGCTGAACTCTTTTGGCTGTCTTCTTGTGGAACAAGGAGTGAGTTTCAGCAGAGCTTTCAGTCAGGCTGGATCTTCTGTATTCTTTGCATTGATTCTGGTTTCTCTAATGGTACTGAATGCATTCTGATACATCGGCAGATCTACTGCCAGTTGTCCCCAAGTTCCCTTCTCTCCCCTTACACCTACCCCCTATCTTTGCTCAGAAAATCTCAACGGGATAGAAAGCTAAGCAAAATGACAGTGAAATTGACTCACATTTATTCTGCATTGCAATCAAAGAAGCCAGCCAGTGTGAAATTTACAGCAAAGTTTTTATTAAAGTGATCCATTATCTACACTACAGTTGTGACGTGTTCAGCTTTATTGAGTCCTAACAGGTAGCAGTTTAAGATCTAAATGACTTTTTTGTTTTAGGGAGGAATTCTAGCACCTGAGAAAAACGTATTCTTCCCTTCACTAGCCTCCACATAGTTAATAACAAATTCTTTCAAATCGGCCCCCCAAATGCATCAGTATAGGTGAAAGCTGGTCACTGTAGATTGTGTAACTGTCTGTGATGTTTTCTCTGCAGCTCTGTAGGCCTGGCTAAAGCTGCCCTGGAAGCCATCAATGGATTCAACCTGTTCGGAAACCAGGTAATTGAATAATTCACCTTATTCTGACTCCTTTCCTCTACACTCTACGTCCTTGTCTTGATACGAGCTCCAGGACACATATGAATTTGCCCCCTATATAATCATGTCATGTGGTGCTAGATCGTATTATAGATGGATGACCTATTTCTGTATTAAGCTTGCAGAGGCTCATTACTTCCCCTCACATCAGTGTGATATGCAGTGCTGACGTCAGCTGCAAAGAATGGCATGCTGCCTAAGAATAAGAATAAGAAGAACTTCATTAATCCCCAAAGGGAAATCCAATTGTTTGTTGTCTCACTAGACATGTCTCTAAAAGTTATCTACTATTTACACAAGAGTTATACAGTCTGATGGCTGTTGGTACAAAAGATCTTCTGAATCTTTCTGTCCTACAGCAAAGAGAGAGGAGCCGTCCACCACCATTGGCCCTTTGGTCCATTAAGGTGTTGTGAAGTGGGTGATTCATGTTCTTAAGAATAGTCTCCATCTTCCTCAGTGTAGATCTCTCCACCACATCCTCCACTGAGTCCAGCTTGAGTCCTACCACAGAGCCAGCCTTTTTCACCAGTTTATTTAGACGTCTTGCATCTTTGTGTTTGATACTTCCTCCCCAGCAGACTGCAGCGTAGAACATAACACTTGCCACCACAGTCTGATAAAACGTCTGCAGCATCTTACTACAGATGTCTATTGATCAGAGTCTTCTCAGACAAAAGAGGCGGCTCTGCCCCTTTCTGTAGATGAAGTCTATATTCTTAGACCAGTCCAACTTATTATCCAGATGTACACCTAGGTATTTATATGATGTCACCACTTCGATGTCCACTCCACAGGTGTTCACTGGCTGAAGAGGGGGTTTGGATCTACAGAAGTCTATGACCATCTCCTTTGTCTTTGAGGTGTTGAGGAGGAGGCAGTTTTTGTGACTCCAGTCACTGAAGGCTCTTATTAGATCTCTGTATTCAGCTTCTTGTTCATTTCTGATACATGCCGCAATAGCGATGTCATCTGAGTATTTCTGGATGTGGCAGGACTCAGTGCTGTATTTGAAGTCTGACGTATACAGTGTGAACAGGAATGGCGCCAGCACTGTCCCTTGTGGAGCCCCTGTACTGTTCATTAATGTCCCAGAAACACAGTTCCCCAGCCTGACAAACTGTGGCCTCCCTGTCAGGTAATCTGTGATCCTGGAAACACAGGAAGGATCCACTCCCATCTCTGTAAGCTTGTCTTTGAGTATGGTGGGTTTGATGGTGTTGAATGCACTTGAAAAGTCGAAGAACATGATCCTTACATAAACCCCAGGTTCCTCCAGATGGGACAGGGCACGGTGAAGCATGTAGAGGACAGCATCATCCACTCCAATGTGTTCTTTGTATGCAAACTGCAGGGAATCCAGTTTGTCTTTGACCTCAGACCTGAGAAGGCGTAGAATCAGCCGCTCCAGGGTTTTCATGATGTGTGAAGTGAGGGCCACTGGTCTGTAGTCATTGAGTTGAGCAGGACATTTTGTTTTTGGTACTGGCACAATGCAGGATGTTTTCCACAAAGTAGGTACTCGCCCCAGCTGTAGACTCAGGTTGAAGATCCTGTGGAGAGGTTGACACAGTTCTGCAGCACAGTCTCTAAGCAGCCTTGGACTATCACTTGAATCAAAGTTGGTATTAGACTAAGACTAATGAACTGTTTACAACCCATTTTCAAAAACTTTGGGATGCAGTGATACCATAGACGGCCTGCAGTATATGTCATAAATCCCGCCTCCGCCTCTTTGTTTCATGCCGTTAACATAAAGACTGTATATTATGGAGGTGGCATTGGTGATGTTTGTAAAGCAGAAATTTGAAGCCTGTCAGCAGCATTTCCTTGTTTGGAAATCCAGACTCAATCTAACTTTCAGTCAGCCTTTTAAAGCGGGGCTTTTTGCCTCCTTGTAAATAGCTGCAGTGTGTCAGCCTGTTAGTCAAGTCAGCCTCTGTTTTGCAAATCTTGTAGCCTTACTAACTAGATATGTATGTCACGGGTATGCATTTATGCATGACATACATATTCCCTCCCTGTACAATGGGTGCTGTGGAAGCCCTGAGCCATCTAGACCAAAACCGTGTTTTAAACCAGACTGTATTTATTTTTTTCAAGTTTAGTGGGAACATAGTTTCCTATACTTGTTTGGTTGTTTGGTCTACCTTCAGGTATCTGTAACAGTGTCCATTAATGGACATGTTTCTTTCATCTTTCTGGCTTGTTTGGAGTAAAGGAAAGCAGGGACAGTTATTTCATCTGATAATCGATTAGAAAATAAAGACCTGTGCTTAGTGAGCCACCACTCTATTATCTCTTTTCCTCTTCTACCAAAGCCAGCAGTGGCTTCTCTGACTGTCTCCTGCATTTGAACAGTGTTTTTCTGATCAGAGAGCGGGGCTGTCAGAATGAGTGTATATTAGAGTCATAGTTTGTTTTTCTCTTTTGATCAGCTGCAAAATGAGGGGTTTAACTGTGCCTGGAAATGGATTTTCTCATCGAGCTCATCTTGTTGAAAGAATCAATTTATTGAGGTGGCTGCTTTATGATCCGTACTGCTGTGTGGGGCCTGCGTAAGTGAGTGTGTGTCTGTGTGTGTGGGAATGGAAGTGCTGCAACCCAGCCAGTTTCTTATTAATGATCTCTATCAATCTCGATATCCTAGCAGACCTCCATCCTTCCTACACCAAATGTAACTCCCCCAGACCCTTTAACTGAAACCTTCACTTCGCTCTGAACTGCGCTATCTCATTTTACAGTGGCTGCATACTCTTGTGGGGGTGTGTCACTTTTAGCCTTTGCTCATGATTAATGGACACACAGCCTCCACTTTCATAAGCTTTTTCCTCTGATCCTGCTGTGTCAAACAATAAATATGAACATAGTACAAAAACTTGACTGCAAGGATTGAACCAATCTTCCCAAAAAATCTTCTAATTTGCAGCCTGTCATACTATTCACAGAATTACAGGACTGTCACCTAATTCACACCCAATTAAGGACAGGAGGATGGGGGAGAGCAGATACACACTAAACCCTATCTACAAATCTTTTTGAGAGCATAAATTATGCTTTACTTTTCTCTCCTGACAGGAGAAGGAAGTGCCAAATTCAAGGCACCATTATAGTCTTTGTGGTGTTATTAGGACCATAATATAGTCTACACCCTGTCACCATTTATTAGCAGCCCATAATAGCAGCAGTGACATTGATGGTTTTATGGCAGAAATTATAGTGACATGTAATTGACTCATAATATGGAGTCACTTTTTTATACTCAGGGACGTGGGTGAACTCCTACAAAAGAATGGAGTATGAGTGAGGTAGTTAAGAGAGGAAGCAACAAGGAAGGAAATAAATACAAACTGTGATAGAATCACTTGTATATTTTTGAAACACAGGCCAATAGACCCATTTAACCTATCCTTTCCCTTCTTGTATCTCTTTAAGTTCATCTTAGCTCACTCTCCACATTAAAAGTCCCTGATTGTTTCACAGTTAAAATACCTTTATCCTGAAACAAACACTTTCTGCAGTCAAGTTAAACAATGTTGTACAAATTGGGAAGTGGGAGAGAATGACAACGCAAATCACTTATTCAGTACACTATGTACTGAGTTTTTAACACAATGTCAATTACAGAATCATCTTTCTGATCTCATATACAGAATTGAGTTAAGGTGGACAATGCAGGGTAGCCAACTCAATCAAATAAGAGCCGTGATGAGCAAAGGCCCAAAGATTTTTATGAACTTCTCTGTAAAATACAAGTTGCATTAATATAACTGCAACAAGTTTTTCTTTTAGTCAAAGGAAAACATGACAAAGGCAACTGCAACTATTACACAAAGTCCTGTAGATACCAAGTGATCCATCCTTTGTGTGTGTGTGTGTGTGTGTGTGTGTGTGTGTGTGTGTGTGTGTGTGTGTGTGTGTGTGTGTGTGTGTGTGTGTGAGAGAGAATCTTTTTTGCATACCCTTTCAGTCTAAGCCACTCTTATTTTGAAGTCTGAATAATCAGCAGAGCCTCAGAATTTAGACTGTGTTTACAAAACTGAAGCATACGCCCATTCATAGTTTTTATATATTTATATACAGCACTTTTGATTAAAGTCTTAAAGGATTGCCATAAAAGGCTGCTTTGCCTCTTCAGTTTTATTTAAAAAATGGGAGCTCGCTTAAGAAACTGCTTTAAAAGAGCATCTCTCTCAGGTAAACACTCAGTTCACAAACTGTCTTTTCTTTCCCTCTTGCTGCCGTCAGACCAGAGGAGATTTCCCTGAGAGGACATTTCACTGACACGCTGCACAGCTGCATACATTGGTGGCCAGCAATTCACTGCACTATGCAAATTGCAACAGGAAAGCTTGCTTATTTGACTAAAAGCCCTGGATGGATCTGTTTTTGGAGGAAAAAAACTAGACTCTAGCAAAGTTCATACATAATGCATTTGTCCTACATTAGAAACTGCTTAGTAGGTTGTAGGAGTGACTCTGTTGGCTTTATGTAAGCTCTGATGGATGGATGAAGTGCACTGGACCAGCTTTTTACAGCTGAAATAAAAAAAGGTTTGTTCCCTTCTTTTACGGAGTAAAGCCTCCCCACCACCAGGCGTTTAAGTGCACCGGATGAACGGGTCGCATTGTAGTCGAAGCACTTCATTTTCATACACGGGGACTTTTGAAGTGAGAGGATGACTCCCGAAACTATGTTGTTCAAGCACTCCCACATTGTACTTCAAAAGCATGTGCAACCCAAAAATATCTGCCTACTTTTACAGCCACAAAGTATGTTTTGGAGAGTGGAGGTGTGAGGTGTGAAGGCGGGGGCTTGAAAGAAGACCTTAAGTCATTTTAGCCATTTTGTTGTCAAATGTTTTTCCAGATACATGGTGAGGGAGCTTGTTGTGCATTTTCTTGTGGGTGTTCACATGCAGAGCATGAGACTGTGGGCTGTTGAGTGAAAAGGTGAACAGTTCAGCTCTGATGGTGATGTTGTCTGTGTATATGTTTTTCTCTGCAGGGCTGCTCATGGTCAGTGATATTTGTGGATCTGGACGCCCACAACAGGAACCGACAAACCCTGTGCTCCCTGCTGCCCCGAGAGTCTCGCTCACATGTGAGTCAAGTCTTTGCACTGAAATCACTCAATGAGAACGAAAACCTTGCACATCAAAATACCAGATATAGAAATGCTCATATGCAAATTTTAGCTCAAAGCTGATGACCTGAGATATTTTTCCAAAAAAGAAAATCACAAAACCACATAATGATTTAACCCCCCCCCTTTTTTAAAATAAAAGAGCAGCTCAGTGGTAACTTAAATAAGAGTGCAATAAACCTTCATATCCACAAGAAACTGGTCATTTCATGTTGTTAAGACCATTTCTTCAGACTGCATTGACATGGCCGATGACCACCACCTTCGATAGATAAACAGCCTGCATTTACTGTAAGCCCCCACAGTAAATACTGATCACTGCGGTTTAAGCTCAACACCCGTAACCAGCTTATCCAGGCTTCTCACTGGACACAGCTGCAGTGTGTGACGGCTCTCACACAGGTTGGCTGGGTAATGGCTGTGGGAGTTGCTGCCGTCAGCCTCGTATACCCATCAATTGTAGCTAAAAATAGGAGCACTTATTAGCGATTACTGAAAAGTAATCAGAATTGTGAAGAAGAGGCATGTGATCTGCTGTAGATCACTCTCAACTTGACAGTTCACTTGAAATACCGATAGAAGAGTTATTTCAGGGGTAAAGCTTGCAGAAAATGATCTGATTTACACATGTTGAAGAGTCCCTGTGGATTAGATACTTGAACTACATTTATCAGCCACAAAGAGCACTAGCTCCTAAGATGTTCTTAGGAGATGGATTTTAGGAGATGGTGATGGATCAGGATTATTAAAATTATTTGTAACTGTAGTCTTCTCTGTGTGACTCACATGACATTTGTCAACCTCCAGGTGTTGAATAAAATGACCTTTTGTATTACATTGCGCTACTAGCTGGCAAGCTTAACAAGTAAGAGGTACATAAAAATTACAGGCCAGCTGTGTTAGCAAAACAGTACAATGTAAACAGTCAAGGAATACGACCACATACAAATGTAATGACTAGTGTGGTCTGTTTGTGATGATGAAATACTGTGGATAGATTACAGTAACAAGTATCACAGGAAATGTCACATGATGCAGCACTTCAACACAAACAGGAAGCAAATGATGAAGTGTGCAGTCAGTCTGTTCTTGTAACCTATGTCCAACATTTTCAGTTTCTTAAATGTTCAGAATATTTCTTCATCATCTGAAGCTGTTTTGGATCTGACTCTTATTGCTGCTGTCACAGTCAGCAGGCAGTAGCACAACCTGTGTTCCCAAAACAGCAATGGGTGCAATGCAAGATGACAGACCTCTCAAACTGCTCACTGAATCCATCTGTACTCAGGGCTCAGACATCCCTGACCATGGGTGTAAACAGCAGAAGAGCTTAGTAATACTATGAATGGATCACCAAACCATCAATATATTGAGTATCCAAGCCCACCAAAACTCATTCAAATCTGAATTCAAAAATGTTTAATTCGAAAATTGACTATATTTGTCATTTCAAGTGAATCATATTTGTAATATTTTCTAGTTGCTTACTGCTTTGTATATGAGACAATGAGGCTTTCAGGGATGTTAGTTTCCAGAGGCTTTCAAAGGGTTAACTTTACACATGCAGCAACTATCCAAAATGTGAGTGGATTTCTTCAAGTCAACGACATATTCCACTCACAGCACAGTTGTTCAAACACACACATACTGATGCTTTTGAGGATTCTGCGTTGAAATGAAAAAGGGAAACTGAGAGAGCGGCTGCAGAGCTGGTGGGAGGTAAAGCTGAAAAGGGACAAAAAGCTGGAGGAATTTCATCCATGTCTCTCTGCTCCAGCCGCTTGCAGACACTTAAACGATCACATCTCTCCCCCTGTGTGCTGAATAGCTGCCATCAGCTTGTGAGAAAATGAGTATAATTAAACGAACAGCGTGGCATTATAGCTGTAAGAGTGTAGGAAGGATGGAGCGCAGGAGAGAGGGAATGAGAGGTTGACGTTCTGTGGGATAATGTCAAGATAACTAAAATATCAACATAAAATCTTTATCCCTTACACTTTGGCAAGAAATTGGAATTCAATACACAATTCTGGACACATTCAATACCCGCAGTGGATGTGTTCTGCAAGCTGATGGCCCATTTCAGCTGCAGCTGCCGAGGATGTTAACATGAAGATTGGAGCTGTAGCAAGACGATGAAAATAAGAGGGGAGTGGACTTGATGGAGCAGCATTTGAATTTTCTGTGACCTGTTTGTGAATTAAAAAGAAAAACAAAATTACAATTCACATAATGAAGCCGCTCTGAGTGCATTCCATGATTTGCATAAACATCTTGTTCTAAGCCAGCATGTTTCTGTAGTTAGGATAGATTGGTTTTATTTTATTCATTTGTCATGCACATGTAGTGCCAAATCTTCATGGGGTGACTAGACACCAGAAATACAGCTGCAGTGTCAGTCTATTCATAACAAGGTAAAACGAAGATGCATGTAGGTTCAACAGCTCTCTACGTAGCATGTATTCTTTCTTTGTACCTGGGCTTTGCAGATAAAATCTGTCAGGGATAGAAACTTGAGTTTGAGTCACACGTGAACATGACTTGAGATCTGACTTGGCTGTAAATTTGGGACTTATGATCAATCTTTTTATCTTTGCATTTTTGACCTAAATATTGCAAACTGAAAGTCATTCCTCATCATGCCTAAACCCCAAAATTTATTGCACGGTGACACCGTGGCAAGTGCATCAGCTGTTTCTTATTCATAGACCATACCTCAGCAGCAAGCATATTTGATGACTATTTATGTGTGCCAGGATCCAGGGCTGCTTGACTATATAAATTCTAAGCAAAGTAATACATGTTTAATGTTTGTTTCCTCTTCCTGGTAGAACACAGATGCAGCCTTACTTCCAACCATCAGCTATCCTGCCTTTGCAGTCGATGATGACGCCCTCTACAGTCAGACACTGGATAAGATCGTCCGCAAACTGAAGGGCAAACATGGCTTCAAACGGTTCCTACGTGACGGATACCGCACTGCAAATGAAGACAAGAACCGTCGGTACTACAAACCTGCTGAAATGAAGGAAAGTATTGACCAGACACACATATAGGACCCCCACCCCCTTTTAACCCTTTGATTTTAATGCTCATATAAATGACTTCTGCTGTTTATTTTGACAAGATGAATTTAAAAAAGAACCAAGTCATCAAGGATGAATCAAATGAAAGCAAATCTTACTCTAGCATTTAATCATATCAAGAAATATAAAAGTAAAAAAGGATTATTACAGTGGCTTACAGCAATTCCTCAGCAGCATTTCGGCTTTCATTTGGAGTCAGTTTTTTATTTTTCCTTAGTGGGATTGGGGCAGAAACAATACCTTCCGCGATGCTAAAAAGAGACCTGCAGGATGTGTCAGGGGGCACTCCAGGGGCAACAACTCTGACACACCATGTTTCTAAAATCAGTTCCTTTTAATTTTGTTGCTAAAATGATTATTAAAATTATTATGAGGATAAGCAAACATCATTGAATTCCTCAGTGCCTTCAGGCTCTGTCATGCCCTCAGCTCCACCAGCATGTTGACAATTTATTGTTACAGACAGCAGTGCTAGAAAAGCGGCATAACTTGAACTCTTGGTGTCAGAAACAGCATTTTATTTATTTTTTTTTACAGAAATACTTTGAGTGAGTGAGGTGTATGATTGTTACAAGATAGAAGAAGTAGACTTTTTATCACAAGATAGGACAGCAAAGAGACCAAATGAACTAGTGAGTCTGTAGAGGGGCATCATAATCAAAACAGGTCTCATAAGATATCAACAGCACAAGCATTAACATGTAATGACTACATGACTGCTGGCCTTGATATAAATACTGAAAGATGTCAAGGACACCTCCAGTCTATCAGAGGTAGACTGAACTCAAAGTATATATTGAGCAGCAAGTGAACACACAGAGGTATGAAATGTCCAGGGAGTTTCGGACATACTGTGAGCTCGATGTGGAGAGAAAGCGGTCTCAAGTGGAGCTGCTCTCCTGTCTGAAGACACGGAGTGAAGCTGTTGTTGGTGCTTAAGAAAGAATTCACTGCACAGACATCTGTGCTCCCTGTCTGTTTACCATTGACAGGAGGCAGCAGCCTGTGTGATAGACAGTTTTACCAATCAGTTGAGCTGCTCAAGCACAAAACCCCAGGGAGTCCTGCATGTTTACAGCCTCAACAGGCCAAAAAGCACAGGCCTCCCCGGGTGACTGCCTCAGCTCTCTATTTCTCTCTCTCTCCTCCACTCCCTCTCCCCTCTCCTCTACCTCTGTCTCTCCTCATGCTCCTTCTTTCTTCCATTTTCCTCTCTTTCATCCCCCCTTGACTCCTGATAGGGACTAAATTGCTTCTCATCTCTGCTGAAACACACAGTTTGAAGCCATGCATACCTACATAATCGCAGGCTGCAGACATTAACCATTTAAAGCAGCATACTCAGGCCTGCAGATGTGACACTCTGTTCAGTGAGAGTGACTGCAGCTCCCGCTGGTGTTAGTGTGTGCCAGCTCTATCAAACATTTGTTATTGCATTAGGATGTAATCTCTGTTATCTCCAATCAGTGTGGAGATTATTGAAAAAGATGAGGGACAAAGATAGGGTGGGCTAATGACATTTTTAGATTGATGGGCTAAAACCCACACGCACGTAAACAGGCTTTGTAATGATGGAGGCTAATAAAAATCTGCAGTTTGTTTGATCCTTTTTCTCACTGACCTTGATTTCCCTTGTATATCCACATATATGGTGGCCAGAAAAGGTTTGTTCTGTAAAAAAAAATGAGAGACTGAATTTTGTCTTTGGGTTTGTCTTGATCCTCTATAGAGAAGCATAAACAAGCCTCAATTGAATTATTGAAATTAATAAAGCCGTGTTTCACGTGACTGTCTCCTCGACTTGTGACTTTGGTGTGTGTGTGGCCTATATGTATGTGACATGACACACACATTTACTGTGCGATCTATAATAGGATTTCTGGCTGAGTAAGATTCAGAACATAACACTGCCAGTGATGGTGTTCATGTCAAATTAAGTGTTTGCTCTGGAAAATTCACCCCAACTATGGCCACACGCTGACTTTTGTTTGTTTGAGTTCAGTCGACTGTAAACATCAAGACAGTCACACAGTCACTCATGCAGTCATCAGTTACTGTCCAGTCAATCAATCAGTCAATCAATCAATCAGTCACAGCTTTTTAAAAGAGGGAGAGAGGAGAATGTTTGGATACGTTTAAACCTGCATTATTTAGAGAAGGGACAAACAACATGCTCCCATACAGGAGGGTTTGTTGGTATTATATACACTGCTATAGCCATCACAGTAATTAAATATCAGCTTCAACAAAAAAGCTGCAGGAGGTTTGGAGCCTTTTCAAAACCCCAAATATACAAATAAAGTAATATATATCCCAGGAACTTAAAAGTTGATCATAAGTCTGTGCAAGCTTTATGCTTTCTCATGCATCATAATAAATAACAATCAAGGCTGTGTCTATTATGCATAATGGTCACCTGACAAAAGTCTTGCAAATTTCCTTTTTCCTTTCTGTCTTCTATGGTTTTTTCCCATTATGTCCTTAAAGCTAACCAGTGACAGCAGTAATATAGTGATTATGTAATATGCAGTTTTGTGTGAGCAAGAAAAACCAAGATGCGTAGATTACTAGATTGGCCAAAAGTTTTAGGTATGAGACAGGACTCAACTCAATGGAGCTCAACAGCCAGCTTTATACAGAGTATGAGTGTAAAGAACACCTTTCAATGTTGTTTTCATATTGCTGTTAAATACTGGTCTGTAAGGTTGTACCTGCTTTGTCCTTTTGGCATAGATAAAAAGTTTCAAAGTTGTTTAATACAGAGATCGTTTCTGTTTTTATGTTGTAAACAATAAACCAGTTTGAGATGGTTTATTGGTATTTACCTTGTTTTGTTGTTGTTGTTTCTCTGATTGTCCCTGTTAGACCTCCATAGTATTTTCTTCAACCCCCAAGAAGGACTTTTCAGTTTATCTTAATTCTGGTATCCCCTGTGGATGAAGCAGCAACTTTTATTTCTTTCACCTCTTCGTAATATTGTTTAAGTAAATAAAAAGAATAAAAGCGCATTTCCTGCTTTTTGTTAACTCTTGCATTGAAACGCTGTGGACCCATGAAGGGTTTCAGACATTAGAAACTACTTCAAGTAAAAACCCAGTCTTTGTTGATGTTCAGATTTGCTTTTGTAGTTCATGATGGAAGTATAACAGAATATTAATTGTAGTCTGTCAGGTAGTTAACTAAAACTAAATTATGGGTGCTTTGAGAACTAGGTTTTCCTTTGCTTTGAGACACTGTGCAGTAGAAAGTCAGCTGACGGTCTCAAAATTTGATTTCTCTGATGAAGGAAGAAGTTGCCCAAATCCTCCTATCTAATCTAATCTAATCTTAGTGATGTCATACTAGCAGCTTTTGATTTGTTTTTCATGCTCAAGGACAAGTATGAAAGTGTCATTGAGATTTAGTCATCTCTCCTCTGAATTAAATCTTCGTTTATTCTTTTGTTTTCTTTCCTTTTTTTTTTTTTTTTACTTAAAGAAAATGGGAATAGTTTACTGTAAAATGCTTTTTGTGTCACCGTGGACCTCCACGGCAGGTAACCCTGTTTAAAGTTGTGTAGTGATCCACTTTTCTCACATGCTTCTTTTATTTTTCAATGTGTCACAAACTTTCTGAATCCTCAGTCCTTGAAATGCCCATATTTCAAACAGCAAAACTTTAAAATTGACAAATGACCTTGGAAGTAAATATTTATCGCTCTTTATGTCCTGGGTTTTTATTCACAGTGTCATGTCTTTCTTTGCTTCCCTCTGCTCTATGCCTATCCTTATTCAGTGCTTGTAAAATTCAGCTTTTTCAAGTCCCCATGCCGTCTTCTCTTTTGATGTGAGAAAGCAATAATTCCTCCTCTCTCTGTGTGTCTCTGCAGCTTTTTGATGGGATCGAGTGCGAGTTTCCTATGTTTTTCATCTACATGATGATTGATGGTAAGTTTTGTTCCACCCAAAGCCTCAAGTGGGTCACTGGAAAGACAGATATGATGCATTTCTGGAGGATATAGCATATTTATATTAAGAAGTTTTAGAGGAATTACAGACGCCAAAAACATAGATGCGTAAATTCTGTTTTATAATTTTAACCTCTAAGAACACATTCAATGGAAGTAATGACTCTAAAAAATCTTTCAAAACGGACTGTGAATTGAAGTGCTTTCTAATCACTTTATAGTTTTTAATCATTTAATGGTTTTGGACTCTCAGTTTTATGGCACTCTGTCTCTGACTCTTCTTTTTTAGAACATTTCATTTTCGAACAAAGTGTACTGAGCTTATAAGACCAAATCTTTGAAATGAAATGCCCTTTGACAAGTTTATGTAGGCAACATGAGAAGGACTTAAAGAGCTACACAAAAAGATCACTTCATGGTTTGAGTCCTGAAGAGCTTCCCTCACAGTTTGAGAATATTGTGACAAACTATGTCAAACTATCTGATTATACAAAGGCAAAGTGTTATGTAATGTAGCTTTACGTGATTACTGGTGCAGTTAAGATGAACAGGCAGTCACACTGTAGCTGTCTGCACAGGGGCAAATCACCTGCCTCAACTCCATCTTTTTCTTTGGGTTGTGGTTGATCAAAAGTTAGTCAATACTGGAATATTCAACATGGTGCCTGTTATTGTTGGGCTCCTTAAAGCCTGTCAAGAAACCAACGGGGATATCCTGAGACTAATTTTCGTGCTCCGCCGGAGACGTGGCGCAGGCGCGGCGTAAGTCAGGTCCGCCACACCGACAAGGCGTTCCCAAGCACAATTTGGTATTTTGGTGAGTGGTGCAGCCCGGCGTAAGTATCCCCCCTCCCTAACTCAGCTCCTCCCAGGGGCATAAGTCGTAGCGAGGGAGGAGAGAGGGCGTGGAGTGGCTTTAACACAGCCGAGACCTGTATTGACCAATAACATCAGCTCCTTTCCTCGCCTTTAAATCTGCCACCGACGAGGCGTATTACTATTTTCGTGAAGTAGTCAAAGAGATCAAGAGATGTCTGAAGACAGTAATGCCACACGATGGCGACAGAAGGCAGCCCCTCAACAAGTGTTGCTGTAAACACTGCAGAGGGCGTCCTTCACACTGTCTCATATAAGCACAGATGGATTTGGTGTGTGTAATGTTGGACCCACTGGTAAGACAAACACCCGTTTCCAGAAATAAAGACACTCACATAAAGTTGCACATATTCAAACCTCATGTGACAAAGGTGGTTTGTGCGCAGAGATCACATCATAAATTCCAATAATAAAAACAACAATAATAGCTTCTTATCACACTGTGATAAGAAGCTGATAATCACAGGTAACCGGCATAACTTCGTTCTCATTCATCCTCGCAGCGCCTCAGCGCTTCACACAGCCGGACGCTCAGCGTCTGCTGACTTCAATGTGGAAGCTCAAAGTGGGTTGTTCCAGCAGCGAAACTAGACGCTCATAGGATAAATGCTGGGCTTTGTCCCGCCAATCGGACCGCCAGTCGGACGCTCAGCGTCTCTGGAGTTCTATGACAAGAGGGCGGTCCCAACTTTCTCCCGGACGCTGAGCTTCTGCATCCATGATTGGATGAGCTGTCTGAGGCGAAATCCTTTTTTGATTGACAGCTAAACAAGCGAATCAGCGATCTCGAAGAATAAAACATCTACCAGAGCATTTTCCAAGTTATTCATACCGTTGGTCTTAACTGTTTCGGAGACTTTACCGATCCTCAGCAACTTTTGTCTTTGTTAAAAACGACTGCCGTTGTGTTTGGCGACTCTGCTCTGTTACATACAAATAAACAAACACAATTATGATGTAGGTCAGAAAAATGAGCTTCCCCTCCTTGAAAGACCAGCAGCCGCCACTGCTGTGTACATATGCTGAAAACAGGAGAACTCAAGCACACACAAAACAAAATATTCAGTAATGCACAGATACAGCATATAGATCCATCCAACCCAGCATACAAACACACACACAGATGAAAAAACATGAGCATATATAGGGTATTTGCAGCCATCTCACTTCCATACACCCATACATACTGAATGTGCAGCTCATTTTATGAACAGTATTTTATTTTTATAACAAAAACTGTTAAATTTGGGAAAAAGGGATTTGTGTGGAATATAGATGAGAAATATTTCATACACTGACTACACCTGTCATGTGCGTAACTGTGTTTGTATGCTTTTCCTTGTTGCAGGGGTGTTCAGAGGAAATACAGCTCAGGTCAAAGAATACCAGGAACTGCTGGAACCCATCATCTTCCAGTCCTATGAGGGTGAGTGATGACTGAATATGTGCACAAACACACAAAGAAATGTAGTTGCAGTTGAATGGATGAAAATGATCTATGCTCAAACACATAAGTCAATATCTTCTTCTGATAAGATGTACCTGTGCGGTCCATTTTGGGACTTCTCATCCTCAGTTCTTACTCCACTTGGAAATAAAAAAACTTTCTCATATGAAATCATCCATATTCATACTCCACCCACTGTGACTGATGCTCACAGGGTGTTACGTTCAGGTGAACTCAGTCTTTCCCTGTGAATGTGAAGGCTGGTTCCTGTGTTCACCTGCATGCATCACTGAGAGGAGGGACAGGGAAGTGATAGGGATGTCAAGAGATTTGAGATTATATTGGTGGGTTCATAAGAGAGCAGAAATAATTGGAGTGTAAAAGGGATAATGATGTGAAACAGTGCTGACTTAAGGTACCCCAGACATCTTCACAGTAACTTTGTACTGGGTGTGTCTGAATAAACAAAACTTCTCTGGCTGATTGGCTGGATTTGAAAGGATATTATGCCTCTTTTACCATTAAAACCATTGAAAACCATTGAATGCTGTGCTACAAATTCACCAGACCTCCTGTGAGTCTAAAGAAAAATGGCTCACAGGAGGTCTGGTTGACAAAAATAACAAATAGGGCTGTACTAATATATTGAGGTACATTTTCTATTTTTGTGGCCTTACTTGTACTCTCAGAAGGTTATTCAAACTCCTTAAGCATTAACTGTTATCTGATAATATTGGGTGGCAACAATCAAGTGTGAATAAAACCATCTACTCGCTTAATCTGCACATATCTGGACACTGCGAACATTCTGTATTTATTCGCTTAATTCGTGAGAATGCCTGTTTGTAGCATGTCTGCAGAGAACCCAAACAGCAGTTTCAACTTCCTGCATGTCAGGTCAGTCTGTTTACACCAAACTTAGCAGAGGTTGACCACACTGTGAGGATCTGTTGAGTATAAACAACTTTTAGGATTATCAGAACTTCAAACTCTCTTTTCTGCAGCTGAGCTCTTTTATTTACTCCTGTCTCAGTGTCACAGACAAGTTTTATCCTCCAGCTCAGGTGGTCTCATCCTGTTTCAACCGGTGAATTCTCCATTTTCAACGAGAATGAATCTATGTCAGTCTGTTGTTGACATACGCCACCTGGGTATCTCTATGCTCAATGATTATTGGGACACAACAATTACTCAAGTTGAGATATTTTAAATTCTCATGAATAGGTGTTTGAAGCATAAACTGTATATAGTATGGACAACATGGTTCTGCCTCCTGTCATTGCATGAATTTGAAGCCAAATTGCCATGTCAAGTGTCAATCATAAAAAACATGAACCCCTCATAACTTTTAAAAATGTAATTTTTAAAAAAGAAGAAAGAGGACTTGAGCTCAAACCAGTCAAACAAAATCACAAACAGGGGGAGAAAAATTTTAATTCCGTTTTATTAATTTTTAGAGTTTGTCCACAGCTCCATTCATTATGCTAGAAGAGGCGGGGTTAATGACCCATACTGCGGCCTGTCACCAGGGGCTGCTGTTCTTGTGGAGGCTTCACCCAGCAAAGAGACAGATGATGTCCATTCTATACACTCTATGGCTTGAAGGGAGTAACGCATCAGGCGTGACGTAAATTTGCTTTATTCGCACAAATAGTGCGCTCAATTCATGCTATTCAAAACATGTAATTCGTGTCATTCGCAACAACTGAGTTAAACGCATGTCTAATCCCATCTTTGCATTCACCTTAAATGTAATTCACTGTCGTAAATGATTTTAGTCACACTTGGTGTGAAAACAAGGCTTGCATACAAGAAATGATATACTGTAATATAATGTAAAACAATATGAAGTATTAGGATACAAAATAAACCAAAACCAATTTGATATGTCTGATACTTTTGGATCCATTATCTGTGGTAATGATCAAGTCAATCATTTTGGAATACAAAATGAAAAGAACAAAATTAATGTCATTAGCAGCAGTGTGAGGAGTCGCGACAGGATGAGTGTGATTAGAAGGGAAGTCTGCCCATAATATTACTACTAGCCTCTGCTGTAATTGTGGATCTGAATACTTTTCTTAACCTTATTTCTTTATTTTAGACACAAAAGTTTTCATCAGCAAAACAACAAAAATATACAACATGAAGTCACTGTCAGAGAGTTCAATTTCAGTGATGTTCACACACACATACAAAATACTTAAAGTCTGCATGTCGCTCACACCAGGCCACGCTGTGATCCCCAAATACTACTATGTACCAGCTGACTTTGTGGAGGCAGAGCAGAAAAAACATGGAAGCCAGAGGCGTTTCCCTAGCAACTCAGGTCGTGACGGGCAGCTCTTCCTGTGGGGTCAGGCTCTGTTCAACATCGCCAAGCTGCTAGGTAAGCCTGTGTGTGTGTGTGTGTGTGTGTGTGCGTGTGTGTGTGTGTGTGGGGGGGGGGGGGGGGGGGATTAATTCTGTTGATGTTCTTAAGTCACATTCTAGTTGAGTTTTGATGCTTTACTGACCTTTCAAGACACAGCTGATTAGAGAACACCCTGTTACGTCTTTTGTCACTTGATATTAACTTCACAAAAATGATCCCGGTGACACTGTTTG